CAAAATGTACACACTGCAAGCAGAAGATAAAACTACTATTGTCAGACCTCGTTTCAAACTTGTCAAAGTTCAAGGTGGTATACTTTCAAAGACAGTTCCTAACAAATATAAGACAACTGCTGACGAATATGCTAAAGAAGTTGAAAATGACGACTAAGCAATTCTATACCATGCGTAAACTGTCATGTAAGGTGGCATGTATTCTTTACTTTGTCCCGTTGTTTGTGTATATCCTGAAACGCGATGTGTATGGCTTCCTCCTCCCTGAGTGTCATCCCAGTAACAATTTATAGCAAAATCAACGTCGTCTTTAACATCATATCCTTTACCTTTTGTCATTCTTGACCAATCCCAATATCTATGCTTATGCCAACCTTCTAGAGATGTAGTTAAATCTACGTAGTGACTATGCGCAGGTAAGTTTTCACCTGAAATCGTTTTACTTCCACCTGTTTCCTTTGAAGAGTTTGCACAATACAAAAACCTGTCGACTATTTGAGTCCAAGTTCCAAAACCAAGTACTACTTCTGGTCTGGTAGAGTTCATTGACGTGTAAATAGAACCTATAGGATATACTGTTTGAAGTATTTCTGTCTTTAATGTTTGAAGCTCTGTTTTGTCTGCTTTCTTATATAACCTTTCTTCAAGTTCATTTACGTCAGAGATGCTATGTCTATGATATTTTTGTGGGTATGTTCCTTCTGTCCATGCGAAAATATACTCTTTTGTTGCATCTACATATCCAGTTATCCATGTCGAGTCTGCTTTTGTATTCCTTAACTCTGTAACACCTTTCTCAAGCTCTTTCAACTGTTGTCCATCTTCCATTAAACCTCTGGTATGACTTGAAACCGTTTGTGTCAACATATCTACAGTTTCTTTGTCGGCTTTAAGGTCTAAACATCCTGAACCCACCCTGTATTGGCTTTACCTTCTAAAATCTTCGATGTCCGTTCATGGTACCATTCAACCCTTTTTATAATTTCATTGTCTTTTTCATCCACATATTCCTTATCTGCCTTCTTCACTAACCCACTAGCCAGATATGCTAACTCATCGTCAACATACTCTTTGTCAGCTTTCTTTTCAACATCCTCTTTTGTTGCATATGTTGCATCTGCTCTGTCATGTTCTTCTTGAACTTTTTCAATGACATACTCTTTGTCAGCTTTGTTGTCAACATCTGCTTTCAAAAGAAGTTCTTTTATAGGTTTCTCGTTTAAGTTCCTTTTGTTGGATTTATACAGACAGTATGGTTCTTATTGTCTTGAAACAGAAACTCATCTGTCATTGGGTTTAATGTCAGTTTTAAGTTTTCCTTCTTTCAATGACTCAGATATCTTAGAATAGTTTGAAAAGTTTGTTGTGTTCTTATTTAGAGCTTGCATAATGAGTTGTCGGTTGTGTTGTATTTTCTCATGGGAAGCAATATCTTTCGACATTTTTATTCTAGATAAAATATGCTTCCAATAGAAAAAGAAAATTCAAGAGTTGCTACAACTAAACCATTAGATGAACTTTTTACTAATGTCGGTCAAAAGTTTGAGACAGAGACCGTAAAGCATGAAGGCTATCGTTTTGACTACCCATTAAGATGGCTAAGAGACCCATCTGTCACAAAAGCTATTGGCTTTCGTAGAATGAAGTTTGTGTCTGTAGAAGATAAAAGTTTTCCATTATTGTAAGGTTTCATATAGATATATATATCTGAAGGGAAACGAAAAATGTGGGAAGAAATTGAGCTAATACAAGTTGACCTTTCATCTTCTCTACAGACTGCGTTAAAAAATATAGAAGATAAATAAATTCATGTTATGCAAAATATGCTGATGAATATGACAAATACGAGAGCACACTTTATGTGAGAATTGTATATGACAAACAAAATTCACAAGTGTCATTTCAAATCTACGAAGACAATCCAAAGAAAGACGAACAAATATATACAGAATTCACTGCAATGTCATGGTATTTTGCAAAGAATGTTAAATCAGAAAGTCAAACTTCCTTTAGCAAATATTTACAGTCGATATGCAAGAGATGAACCATATTTATTTAAAGATGTTTTCGACCCAGCTGCTATTATTGTTCATGCTTCATTTTCTGGCGCTCAAACTCTTTCTTATGCTTGGCAAATGACTTTTACGAAAAACCTACAAAGTTATACGAACCACCAAGTGGAAGTATTTCAGACTTTCAAGTATGGTTTACTACAGATGGAAGAAAAAGAATAATTCCATTATACCATGCGTTTTACTTAGAACTTAGTTTCATATACAACTACTATCGAACGGTAAAAAATATATTTTTAATACGGTTGAGGTGTTGGATTTGGTTGCCAACTAGACTGTGGTGCAGGTTCAGGCTGTTGTATAACAGGAGCTTGCTCTCGGTTCAGGGTCTTTAGGTATAATACCAACAAACTGACCTACTCTTTACCAATATTTTTGACTCCGTTCCAAAATTCCTCTTCCTACGGTTTTTATTCCATTCCCATATACCTCTTCCAACATTTCGAAAGAAGTTTCCTATCTTACTGAAAAACCCATTTTACTATATGTAAAAATCTATGTCCACCTAGTCTCTTACGTTTCCTTCTGAGTTCCATAGCATTCTTAACTGGAGCTCATACATTCTGTTTCTCCCTGGTAGAAAACATATTCCGGGTCAACTCCTGTGTTCGCTCATCTGCATAGAGTTGTTTATATCCCATTCAGGGTGTATAAAACTCTTTCCATCTCATATTTGCATACCATGGTGTAAGCCTAACGCAGCGTCATTTGAACATGGCAGTTTGCATTGTACATCTGTTGGCACTTGACCATAGTTTGCCATTGCAGTTTGTATTCTAACTTCATTTGGAATATTCTCGGGTTTGGTTGTCCAGGTTGCTGTGCATTCGCTAAGTTCTGTGCGTCCATTAATATTAGATAAAAATATCTCTTACGAGTACATATGCTGAACATTTGCAGACATTGGTTCATCTTCATATTCTCTATATCTTTCTGCCACGTCAAATAAGTAAATGACACAATGGAAAAAACCTAAAACAAGTAGTCCTATTCAAACCACATTTACTTACTAGTAAAATTTCTTTGTTATGACACTTTCTCCGGTTTATAGGACCTCTCTCATATTCTATCTTGTCATATCTAAACTCATAGTCATGTATGTCCTCTAACCATCTCATAACGGTTTCCAAACCACTTTTATCGGATGAAAAGTAAAAGCATGGATGGTTATGTAAAACGTCTAAAGTTTCTAAAGAGTCTCTCAAAGTCCAGTCTACTTGGTATTGAAAATCCCATGTGTTATAGAACGGCGGGTCCACTATAAAGAAAACATTTTCCTTGTCTTTATATTTTTCATACAACTCTGTCCAATGACATCTCACAAACTCTATACCCTCAATATATTTTTCTATGTCCTCTTTGAAAACATTTGTATAGTTAAGATATAAAACTTTTGACATAAGTGTTTCAATGTCATGAACTCTTATAGAACCACTATATAATAGTCTAGCAGATATACTATCCCAGTCTATATATTCTGCTTTTTTCAAAACCTCTCTCACAATATTTTGTTATCTAATGGTATACGTTCCATCTTACCTATAGGTATCTTTTCTTTTAACTCTTTCAATATATTGTTTGTGTCTGGTATATGTTTGAGACGGTCCATATAGTTGTCGAAGTCATTGCATATAATCTTTGAGTCTGGGAATATTATATGGCACAAATGGGATATATAGAAACTTCCACCGAACAAATCTACAAATGTTAGACCATTCGGTAGTTTCTTAAGTTCTCTCAATATAATATCTTTACATCTACTCTTATTTCCAAAGAACGGTAACGGTGGTTTTGTAAAATTCATTTTATATACAATAAAAATGTTTTTTCCTGAAAAGTGACAGAAAAGTGACAAAACATGTACGAAGAAGTCTTGAAAATTCAAGAGGGTAGAAAAGAGGTTAGAAAAGAGGTTATATCTAACCTTCTACCCTAAACATTATTTTTGTCTGATTTTACGAAGAAGTCTTGACAAAACATGAAAACATATATAATTTGTGAAAAGCTCCTGGAAGACCCGTATATAAGAACTTCATTTATACTAAACATCTTCAGGGCTAGAAGGCACGAAGTGCCTGGAAGCCCCACTTCCTTTTTTTTTTTTTTTTTTTTTTTTTTTTTTTTTATATGATGAAATTTATACTTATGTCATATTAAATATAGTCGGAATCATTCATTATACATGAAATCACTCAAGTTGATTTTCAATTCAAAATAATCGTTTGGGATTCAAATAATGATATGCATAGAGAATATATAATCGTAAACAAACCCGCGATTTTTTTGCAAAATTTTTGCACACTTCACAATGTCCTATTCAATTGAGAAGCATTGAATTATTATTTTGCATTATTACATTGGATATAGTCTATATAATCCTTTATCATTTGAATTATCTCTGAATTTTATTTTTTAAACGTGCACTATCTAAATTTAAACGGCCACTTTTTTATTTATCAATATGATTGATATCGTTCATATCTAAAATTGATTTGATATTGAAATTTCATATGATTTTGAAATTTTCTCAATTTTTCTAATGCTAATGGCCCCATTTCTAAAGATCATCTAGATCTTTCATTTCCACAAAGTTTCATCAGCATATCCATCACGGTTGCCCTAAGATGATTTTCCTGATTGTTTGATATCTCCGTATAAAATTTCAAAAAATTATCATTTATTTTACAATACACTCATTTAACTTTTCTTACCATGACCTCCAAGGTCTAAGCACATTACAATTTCTGTTGTTTTTACGTTTTTCTTATAATATATTTTATTTTGATAATTAAATGCTAAAGGCATGCATATTATATTTTAAACATGCATTTTACTAAACTCTGATAATATTAAACAAATCTAAATACCAGATCGTTATATTTTGAAATTATATTTATATTATTATATAAAAATATATCTTCGTAAACATCATAAAGATCCATCATGTGTAGGATCGTTATTTTTTGCACCATATGAAATTAGAAGTTCAGCTGTTTCTTTGCTATTATTATCTATTGCTAAATCAAGAGCAGTTTCTCCTTTATTAATTTTTTCATTGACATTTGCACCATATGAAATAAGAAGTTCAGCTATTTCTGTACAATTATTTATTGCTGCATAATGAAGAACCGTATAACCATAAAATTCCTTTTTGTTGACATTTGCACCATGCAAAAGAAGAACTCCGGTTATTTCTTTAGAATTATTACGTGCTGCAATTTGAAGAGCGGTTCCTTCATATTTATAATTTTCATCGATATTTGCACCATGCAAAAGGAAGTATTCACAAAGGGATGGGATTCCGAATTTTATTGAATAAGCAAAACATCCTTGAATATCATTAGTTTGATCGTAATAAACTAAAAATGCATCAAGATTATTAAATTTTCCGCAATATTCTAAATCGATCTTTATATTGTATTCATTCATCAAGAATGTAACAAAATCAATGTTGTGAGAAATAATTGCAAACATCATGCATTCAAAATCTGGTTTTTGATATTTCAAACATTCACTCATGATCTCTGGATTTCCTCCTAAAAATGAAAGATGTAGACATCTTTCAGTTATTTTTGAGTTAAATTTCGTTCTTAATAACTTGAAACAGTCAACTGACCCGTAGTAACAGCATAATTCAAGCAATGAGTATGCCATGAAAGAATATGGATAACAATGACTAGCGATTAATTGACCTTCATTAAATCCATCTCTTTCTGTGAATGATATCAAACTTTCTTTGTCATTATGCATAATTGCTCTATGAATTGTATTTTCTGAAAGTCGATTCAAATTAAAAATATTAATTTGTTTGAAATCCCACGATATATTTAATTTAATTACATATTCTTTATAAAACAGAAAGTTTGAAATAAGTACAACATTATTGACCTTTTTCACATGATATTCATCAGATACGAGTTTTGCAAGAAAGAAATATGACTTTGCATAACGATTATTATACGGGATTATATTTAATATGTCTCTTATAATATTTTGGGGAAATTTTATCTTAGAATCAATCAATTCTGTCTTAATCATTTGGTAAATCGAGTTTAATTCTTCTTCTTTTTCCGTTTTCAGTTGATACAACGCAATATATGAATCAATGTAGTATTTACAGATACTTCGAAGTTCACTGTATTTATCTGGTTGAATGTCGTGATCGGTCATTAAAAAATTTAAATTTTCAGATTCATAGATTTGCCAAATCAGATGATGAATCTCTTTCTAATGATATCGAAGAAGAATCTCTTTCTGAATAATACGAGGAATACAGCATTTTCATAAGAGATGCTTTTTATTTCATCATTTTACTATTTTTTTTCGAGGGGTATATATCATTTTGAGGGTAACTAATATTATGTGAACTCTCTCTCCCCCTCCAAAAAAATCTAGTATATGCTATGAGTGTCATGTCATGTAGATTAGAGAGAATGTGTGGATCTGAGTTGCAATGTTTAAAAGTGTGACTTTTATAATAATTATTGTAAAAATTTTGAAATTCTTCAAAGGAAAAAAGTGAGGAGCTCACCGTGCAAACTCAGGTCAACTAATTCACAGTGGTCAACTTGTGAAGTCAGTGAATTATCTCAAAATCTGGCATTATAAAAAAATTGAGTTTATTTCAGATAATGATATTTTACTTATTTAACTCCAAGAGATTTTAACACATCTCTCGTAAGACTATTTTTTGCAAGGGAACGGGCAGTCTTTCCATCATTATTCTTTGCACGTTTATCAGCCCCAGCTTCGACAAGACATTTAATTACAATATCTCTCTCTTTAATTGCTGCCGCAAGGAGCGGTGTATTTCCGAGATTATCCTTCGCTTCTTTATTAGCTCCAGCTGAGATAAGATATTTAACTACAGGAACACTGTTATAAATTGAAGCAACAATGAGTGGAGTCTGTCCATCTTTATTCTTTGCTTCTATGTCAGCTCCAATACTAATAAGGTATTTAACCGAATCAAGTGCATTATTATATGATGCTCCAATGAGCGGAGTCCAACCATTATTGGTCTTTGTTTCTAAGTTCCAGCCACATTCAACGAGAGATTTAACAAGCCTTCGATTTCCGTCTTTAGCTGCCAAATAAAAAGCATCTCTACCATTTTCATCTCTAAATTGCCTAAAACTTTCATCACATGCTTTTAACAGCAGTTTTTTCTCTCCTTGCAGTGATAGTTGGTTAAGGAAGTTGTGGACGGCATATAAATCATTTGAATTCTTTAATTCAGCAACTTTTGTGAGAAATTCTTTCGGAAATTCATTATTTTCTTTTTCTTGGTCTTTTTCATAGTTTTGTAATTGGTTTTGTTTCGATTGTAACTCTGATCGAAGATCTTCAATTGTCTTTGTATAATTAGACACTTCTTTTTCATGGTTTTGTAATTGGTTTTGTTTCGATTGTAACTCTGATCGAAGATCTTCAATTGTCTTTGTATAATTAGACACTTCTTTTTCATGGTTTTGTAATTGGTTTTGTTTCGATTGTAACTCTGATCGAAGATCTTCAATTGTCTTTGTATAATTAGACACTTCTTTTTCATGGTTTTGTAATTGGTTTTGTTTCGATTGTAACTGTGATTGAAGATCTTCAATTGTCTTTGTATAATTAGACACTTCTTTTTCATGGTTTTGTAATTGGTTTTGTTTCGATTGTAACTGTGATTGAAGATCTTTAATTGTCTTTGTATAATTAGACATTTCGTTCTCTACATGATTCATATTCTCAATGATGCCATCAAGTAATCGTAGTTTCATGTATTTTCGAACAGATTCTAGTGTCGAAATCGAATCTTTAAGATTATTGATAGGAATTGTAAGATTTCTAGAGCATTTATATATTTTTATTGCATTGTAATTGGATGATAGTTGCGAAAGAAGTTTATGGAAGTCATTAGGAATTAATTTTGATTCGTTTAAGATCTTTTTAATGTCTTCTAGTTCAAAAGCATCAAGACCATTATCACCATCAATATATTCTTTCAAATGAGCAGCAATGTGCGTATAATTAAGAACAAGCCCCGCAGTCATTACACGTTAGAAATGTACATTAACGTGCATATTCATCCTTCCCTTTCTCTTGATAGGACTTTTCTTGCCGAAATATGGAGTATCATTCAGAAGTATCAGTCCATGTATGTACTATACACAGAAGGTTACTGCTGGACTTTTCGTAAATTGTTAAATTATTTTGCATAATAAATCATAATGATGATTCATAAAATCTCAACGAGGATCCTGCCTATTTTCGTTAGGATTGTTGTTTGATTGGATTACAAACGTTCAAAAAATTTCGATTTTTATATCTAAAAATTCAACCAGCTGATTTTTTCAAGAACATGCTAATTGCCTATGCTTACCGATATATTAAATCACAGAGACTTAAAAGAAAATCGGTGCGAGATTTAGCAAATTATTGACAATTTACTTTATGAATTGAGTTTAAGACTATTCATTATAAAATGTTAACATTGTGCATTATTGTGTTGTTTCTTTGATCTATTAAATTCGATTGGGCATTACTAAAACTTTTTATTTTAACTTATGAGTGATACATATGAAGTGTTTTAAGTTCAAAATATACGAATGAAATAATAACATACATTGAAGTTGCAAAATCAAGAGGGAGTACTGGAAATTTCGACAAATCTAACATTTGTAAATGCCAATCATTGAGCTGCTCCATCCATAACAGCAAGTTGCTTCTGCATCAAATCAGTGCCAGGTCTTCCATGAGGGTTTAAAGAACCAGAATCGCAATATTTATGGACATAGTAGCTATGCTGTGTTTCTAGCATGCGTACTTAATATGGGATTTAAAGAAGACTGACATGCTTATAGGAGCACTTAGTTTAATGTCAAATACTGTTTTTATGACGAATTTATTTCAAATTGAAGCTTGCTATGGTGATACGTGAGTGGTCTCCTCTTATAATTTATTTCCAAAATATAAAAATCGCATGATATTTCAAAAAAAAATCAACACTCTACATTGCATGTTATAGACCGAAAATAGATTTTTTCGGTTTTCTCTTCAAATAATTGAAAGAATGATACTATTATAGGTTTATTATATTATATAGCATATAATCATGCTATAGCCGAAAATTATAAGTTTTGAGAAGATTGAATATAACACAAATAAATTTGAATGTAAGTTAAATTGCTTGTTGTTTTTAATAGCTATTTAATGAGAAATCCAATATTGCAAAATTCAAATTGAATGATTGAAAGAACAGAAAAAGTCATTCTTTTCAATTTCGAATATGTTTCATTGTATTTATAATTATATGGCAAATAAGATATTTAAACTTGATTTTGAAGGAAAATTCACAAAATTGAATAAATTCAAATAATTTTTATTCAAAAATAAACTAGTTATTTGAGTTTAATACTAATTATCTATTCAAACTACAAAGTTTGTAATTTAAAATATTTTGTGAGATCAGATTAAATTAATTCAAGGTTCTTTTCAATTAATATTAATGACCATATTACGCATTTTCGAACATTCTAAACCAAATATATAAAAATGGGAGACGAATGTTAAATTTGCTAGACATGGGGGAGTTGTCTGCAAAGTTTTAGCTCTTATCTCTAACAAAAAATTAATTTTTAAAAAAATGACCGAATACGTTTCACAGCGAGAAAAAAATAAAAGGCAAGATAGAATTTTCTAGACATAAAGAAGTTGTTTACCGAGTTTTAGCTCTTATCTCTAACAAAAAATTAATTTTTTAAAAAAATGACCGAATACGTTTCACAGCGAGAAAAAAATAAAAGGCAAGATAGAATTTTCTAGACATAAAGAAGTTGTTTACCGAGTTTTAGCTCTTATCTCTAACAAAAAATTAATTTTTAAAAAAAACCGAATACGTTTCACAGCGAGAAAAAAATAAAAGGCAAGATAGAATTTTCTAGACATAAAGAAGTTGTTTACCGAGTTTTAGCTCTTATCTTATCTCTAACAAAAAATTAATTTTTAAAAAAATGACCGAATACGTTTCACAGCGAGAAAAAAATAAAAGGCAAGATAGAATTTTCTAGACATAAAGAAGTTGTTTACCGAGTTTTAGCTCTTATCTCTAACAAAAAATTAATTTTTAAAAAAATGACCGAATACGTTTCACAGCGAGAAAAAAATAAAAGGCAAGATAGAATTTTCTAGACATAAAGAAGTTGTCTACCAAGTGTCAGCTGTTACTTCTTCTCAATACTGATATAAAATAAAAATCTTTATTATTTATTTAACCTTTATTGTTTCATTAAACTTCATTTATTTTATATTATAGTTTTATTCTTTTAGCTACTTGTAAAATAATCTAATTTTATATCATCATTTTACCGGATTATTCTTCAGTACATCGATTGTGTATCTAAAATAATATCATTATCCTTATTCTGTTTTTTCCAAAATTCTTTTAAATATCTTTTTTGGTTAGATTACTTTATACTTTTTACTTTTATTTTTTAATTTCAAAAAAAATTTGGTGATTGTTCTATTCTGTTACAATGTGCATTATCATATTCTAATGAATTATTCATTACATACATTTAAAAAAACTTGTTAAAAATGAAATTAAAAAATTATGTTTATTATTACGCTGTGAATGTGTCAACAGCGGTCATGCCTGTATCTGTATCCCATATTTGCCACAACCTTTCTGTATCTGCATTTGTGTATTTCGGTTTCAGCTGATACATTTGATTTGGCGTGTAATTTGTTCCAGTTAATGGATTAATTGGGAGATCTTCATGCGGTGTGTTATTATTGTACTCCCAAATAAAGGCAGGAATAGCCTGAATGCTTTGGCAGCGCTCCAATGTCGGCCAGAATCTCTCAATCTTCCCATTTTGGTAGGGAGAATGAGAGTCTGTATGCCGCCATTGGACGCCCCAAAGATCAAGTAGATCTTGAAAGGCGCCCCTATTTTCTGAACCGTTGTCGGTCCAGAAACAATAAGGGGCGCCAAATTCAATGAAGGCGGAAGCCGCAACGTTCGCTGTCGTCGCTGCCAGCATATCTGGTATTTGTATACACGCTAGGACTTTGCGGCTAAAATCGTCGATTATGCCATAAATATACTGGCCACGAACCCCCCTAAAATAATGAACATCTGCGTGCCAGATAAGATTGGGTGAAAACGCCCAATATCTTACTGCTGTTTCTGGCCCGGCATGCTCTAATCGCGTCTTGGTGAAATGATTTTCTTTGAAGTATCTGCGTACTTCTCTATAAGATACATCAATTTGTTGTAATTTCAAACGTTTCCATTGTTTTGTTTGACCACAGGGAAAGGCCCAGTGGTCATGTATCACAGCAAGAGCTTTGATTTGGTCGTAGGGATTGACCCTACGACCTTTCTTGCCTTTAGGCAATGGGATATTCTGTAAGCTAAATTGATTTTGTAAAAAAGATTTTGAAACATCTAAATATTTTAAATCATTTGATTGAAGGGTTGGGGCGATGGGAACATGGGTGCAAGCTTCTTCCCATGTCATTTTACCTTCTTCAATCTGATTGGAAATACCAATTAGGTAAATTCGATCGACATACCCTTTGTAAGGATTCATTTTAATGAAGTACGTTAACAATCAAATATTCTATAAGTGTCTAGTATGGAATTCAAAAGAATAAAGAAAATAGTAACGTAAATAAACGTATTATGAAATAATTTTATAATTAAAATGAAAAAAGAAAAATAATAAGTAAAGTGACTGGAAATGAAAATGAAAATCAGTGTACAGTTTTATTTTTTTCTCGCTGTGAAACGTATTCGGTCATTTTTTTAAAAATTAATTTTTTGTTAGAGATAAGAGCTAAAACTCGGTAAACAACTTCTTTATGTCTAGAAAATTCTATCTTGCCTTTTATTTTTTTCTCGCTGTGAAACGTATTCGGTCATTTTTTTAAAAATTAATTTTTTGTTAGAGATAAGAGCTAAAACTTTGCAGACAACTCCCCCATGTCTAGCAAATTTAACATTCGTCTCCCATTTTTATATATTTGGTTTAGAATGTTCGAAAATGCGTAATATGGTCATTAATATTAATTGAAAAGAACCTTGAATTAATTTAATCTGATCTCACAAAATATTTTAAATTACAAACTTTGTAGTTTGAATAGATAATTAGTATTAAACTCAAATAACTAGTTTATTTTTGAATAAAAATTATTTGAATTTATTCAATTTTGTGAATTTTCCTTCAAAAATCAAGTTTAAATATCTTATTTGCCATATAATTATAAATACAATGAAACATATTCGAAATTGAAAAGAATGACTTTTTCTGTTCTTTCAATCATTCAATTTGAATTTTGCAATATTGGATTTCTCATTAAATAGCTATTAAAAACAACAAGCAATTTAACTTACATTCAAATTTATTTGTGTTATATTCAATCTTCTCAAAACTTATAATTTTCGGCTATAGCATGATTATATGCTATATAATATAATAAACCTATAATAGTATCATTCTTTCAATTATTTGAAGAGAAAACCGAAAAAATCTATTTTCGGTCTATAACAACACTCTACATTGCATATAAATGGTAAAGCGGGGAGAAGCTTCCTAAACTTTTTAATCCCATAAATATGGTCATTATCTGGAATAAAGAGTTAAGCGTCATATGTCACTTTTTGTACTAAGGAAACATCGACTTTATGCGTTATGACTTTTCGATGAGGAAACAAGTGTTCACGTATTATAAACTTCCTTATTCCAATAAACCAACCCTAAACATAATTAATTCTAAGAATGATAATGGTCTCTTTTCTATGATAACCAAATCAATTTGGTTATCATAGTAAAGCACCAAAAACAGGAATAGGAATCGACAATATGGAATCACGAATCAACTCTAACAAAATGGAATTGGAAAATTCTTGCATCCATTCTTTATTTATGCAAAATTTAAATTTCAAACAAAATTCTCGTACTATTCTCAATAAGATTTGCGTAAACTTATTATTACTCTTATACGAAAGAAGATTTTTCATGCTAATTTTATCGAAGAACTTTATCTTGCAAAATAAAATACTCATTTCCTAGAAACTTAGACTAAAAACGGTAACAATGAATAAACTTCAGTCTAAAAATTAAATTCGTACTATTGTAATTAAATACTTATCTTTATAAAAAAATATCATTTTTTTTTCCAGTGAAAAAAAGATGTGACTTTTATTGATTGATTGTTTGTAAACATTGCACTTTGAATAAGTATATTTTGTTTAAATTTGCACTTGGAATAAATATACAAAACAACACTGAAATTCCAGCTACTTTTCAATACTAATCATTTTTAAACATTCATTGTCCGTTGATTAGTAAGGCAAATGTTCGATTTTGAGCATGCATATTCAGTGAATGAATGCATTAATTAAAATCAATGAAGGAAAGGGGATAAAACATGAATTGCAACTATGTCGCTATAAAGATATATGTCTCACAAATTGTTAGAATAGAGTTCTTTCATAATGATTGAATATTCTTTCCTATTTTGGTTATTACACGGAATTTCCTTCCTAAACATATAATGTCTTCCTTATAAAATGACTTGCTTTCTTTGAAAGCTAGTATATTTTAACATTTTTGAAAATTTTTATATTTTTTTTAAGTTTTTATTAAAACAATAGAGATTTAAGTATATCCCCTCTAAAATAAGTGTTAATAGTATAAAATCAGGTTAAATTTGATCTAATATGAGTAAAAATGTAAAAAAGAACACACTCATTTTGCATGTAAAGGAATAATCAGAGTTATTCAATAACATTTTACGTATTAAATTATGGAATTACGATATCTTTTGAACAAAATTCAACGTAATTAGCAGAATGAATTTAAAAAATTGCTAAAAGAATGATGTACATTGATCATGCATTAAAGTATCTTAATAAAAATGCAGTAATATACAATGATGAGCAAAGCAGATTTGAATCAGAAAGAAGATTTGCTTAAAAAATCAGTTGAGTCTTCTCTAGTTTCCATATTGCCTATTCCTGTTTAAACGCGGTTATTCCTATTCCTGTTTTTGGTGCTTTACTATGATAACCAAATTGATTTGGTTATCATAGAAAAGAGACCATTATCATTCTTAGAATTAATTATGTTTAGGGTTGGTTTATTGGAATAAGGAAGTTTATAATACGTGAACACTTGTTTCCTCATCGAAAAGTCATAACGCATAAAGTCGATGTTTCCTTAGTACAAAAAGTGACATATGACGCTTAACTCTTTATTCCAGATAATGACCATATTTATGGGATTAAAAAGTTTAGGAAGCTTCTCCCCAGCAAGAGATGTTAATAAATGCGAAGAACCATCGTATAGACTCTAAATTTTCAAATCCTTTAGTAAGAATTCGAAATAACGAGCAATGGCACTTTTTCACATAATGTCGAGGGCGCCATTTGCAAAAAGACCGGCATCGCGTGCAACTAGACAGGAATTCTATTGGCGTGGTGGCGATTCTCTTCATGAGCGTGAGTATTTAAGAGATGAATACAAAAAAGCTATGGTTGATTTCAAGAAAGCTCAAATGGAGTACAAAAGTGTAGAACAAGAACTTAAAAAAGCCAACGAGCAACTCAGCGAGAAAGAGAAATACACAAATGCACTTGCATCATATCTGGATAGCGATGCAGAAGGAGGAAATCAAGAGCAAGAGTACAAGCGCCAGTTAGGTGAGTTAGAAGTTGAAATTGGAAAGGCAGAAAGTGAGTTAAGTGATGCTCGTGCTGTCCAGCATCCAGCAGTATCATCAGGCCTTCAAAAAGACAAAGCTTACATGATGATCGAGATTCAAAGACTTAAAAAGGCTCTCGACTTGCGTGATGAGCAAGAAGCCGAGGATAAGAAACAACTAGCCACCTGCGTCGTTAGCCAGAAATATCAAAACGCATTACAAATGGAAGGAATTGTCGAAAAGCTTAGCCGTAAGCGCGCATTCCTCCGCTCACAAGTTAATAAAAACAAGCAAGAATTCGACAAACTTACATCTCAGGCTCCTGCGCAGTCTAGAAACGCTCAACCTGCAAACAAAGAGGATAAACAATGTGTTGTTGATGTTGCAGAGCTTGAACTCATTAACAATCGCATAGCTGAGCGCCAACAGCGTCGTCCTAACAAGTGGAATATGGAAATTAGCCGCCAACTTCGATATATCGAAGAATTAAACGAGAGAATGCGTGATCTCGGCATGGAATCAGATGTTGTTGATGTTGAAGCATTACGTGAGAAGTATATGATTAAGCAAAAGCAAGAAGGTGAAAATGGAAATAAAAATGGCGAAAATGATAATGGAAATGAGAATAACCAAGAAAACAATGAAGAAAAGACCCAATAACTTCTTATTTTTTATATTCGTTTAAACTCTTTTTTTGAATTTAATGTAAAATTTTATTATCTTCATATCTATAAGCCAATAACATTGATTCTGTAAATATATGTTTTCTTCAATAATATGAAACAAATTTCGGATATTTGAAAGCTTAATCAAAGGGTTTTTTATTAATTTGCTTTAATTAATTGTGGAAAATTTATATATTGTTTATCAATACCCCAGGTCTTTCAAGCTCCGTTTTACTACTAAAGCTGGATCTCATTCCGTTCAATTCAAAGACTTCTTATTTGGAGAATTTCAATTTTTTTTGACAAATTCAAATTTGTATATGATTCTAGAATTTAATATAAATATTTAGTAATGATTTTATTTATTTTTTTTCGCAACGTTTATTTGTAATTTTTTTTGTGATTTCTGCAGATTAAATGAAAATAATTTTATTAGTCTTGTAATAATGAAATGTTAAAATTAAAAAAATTCAAGAGGGTTTTTTACTCCCATAAAAATGTCTATTGTAAGAAAACTTGTTTCGCAAAACAAAATTCGTTTCGTAGATTCACAAGGAGAGACTGATCTTGATTTAGCATATATTACTCAAAGAATTATTGCCATGGGATTTCCTTCTTCCGGAATAGCTGCAACGTATCGCAATCCACAAACAGCAGTAGCAGAATATTTCGATACGACACATCCAGGTCATTACAAAATATTTAATTTAGCTGAAGAGCCTTATGATCAGAGTAAATTCTCTGGTCCTATAGAACATTGTCCGTTTCCTGATCACCACTCTCCTCCGATACCGCTAATGCTTTCAATTTTAAAGCATGCTACGGAATGGCTCGATGCAGATAAACAAAACGTTGTAGCAATTCATTGTATTGCAGGAATGGGGCGCACAGGAACAATTATATCTAGTTTAATGCTATTCTTAGGAATTCATGAGAAAGCTGAAGATTCACTCTCCCATTTTGCGAACGTCAGAACTGGAGGACAAGTTGGCGTAAAGAACCCTTGCCAGCTACGATATGTTAAATACGCTGAAGAGCTCCTTCGAATGGCTAACGAGGGAGGCTATGACAAATTTAAATGCCCAGAACTTCCAGAAAGAAAATTAAAAACAATTACCTTCCAAAATATGTATACAAAACCAAAGAATATTTATATTACAATACAAAACAGCGAATGGGACGTCATTTACAACTCTGCTTGGGTCTTAGATCCGACAGATAAGGCATCTAAAGAATTTTCTTACGATTTGGGGGTAAATATCAAAGGAGATTTTATAATGAATGTATACGAAGTCAAAAAAGGACTTGTTTCTAGCTCTGCAAAATGCAAATTGTATTTTACCATGACTACGTTGTTTATTCATGATGATACTATTATTGTTCCACGAAATCTAATAGATGGAACTGATAAGGATAAGAATTTCGAAAAATATACCCCAGATTTCCAGGTTATTTTTGAATTTCAGTCAACTGGTGAATTTAATAAAGTTCACTGCTTAGAGTATTAAATTTTGTTTTGTTTTGTTTTACAGTTAAAATTATGTGTAGTTTAATTAATAATTTTTTTTTTGGAAAATTGATTTTTCAGATGAAATCATTCAATTATTTCCTCCAGAAATATTGCTTTTAATGCGTTTCGATTTGAGTTTAATATTAATATTTTAGTATAAATGTAACTTAATCTATTAGGTTCAAGCCAATAGCAAGTATACACTTGGATTGCTGTGATCAATTGATGCTTTAATATAGTTTTATTCAAACAAATGATACTTTGTCTGTGCAATAATAGGGGTTTTCCTACAAGTGCAAAAAACGCGCAAAAACGATTATTTTACATTCAAACTGCGCATTATTTGTGCGTTTAAAAATCTATCCGCGTAAAGTAGTCAAAAGATGTAAGCATTTTTTCTTTAATATATTATACATATGCAATTGTGGCTATACTTTATTAATGGTTTTGATTATTTATAATAGTCAACTCCAAACCTTTTCAAATGCGCAAAATATGCGCAGATTCAATTTTAAATAATCGTTTTTGCGCATTTTTTGCACCCCATGTAAAACCCCAATAATAGTTTCAAAAGTCAAAATATGTCATTTTCATTGAATTTTTTATATAATTGAGTCGTGTTAACCACTGAAAACATAGTAAACACATCATATATGATTTCTATTACCTTATGATAGATGATGAAAAATACATTTATTAAAAGATAGAATAATATTTTTTATATAAAAGACTTAACATCAACTGCAGAAAGAATTGGGGCTTTGCTGATAGTTGATGCGGATTTCTTTCGCATGCAGATAATAATAAGTGCAACTGTAAATACCAGAATAACAGCTGCAGAAAGAGAAGAAATTATTGCAATTTTTATAATTCTATGATGATATTTATCATCAGCAGTATCACATAAATCAGTGATTTTTACAGAAACAGTTCCCAGACTGCAATATGAGAAATTACTGCTTACTAACACTTTTTTGAGTGCAGTGCTTCCATGGAAAATAGTATCAGAATTTTGTGATATTGTTCCACAAAATATGAAATAATTTAATTTTGGACAATTTGAAAAGGAGAAATTTCCAAACTCGGCAAACACAGATCCAATAGAAACATAAGATAATTCATTATTGTTTCCAAAAGAATTATCTCCAAAAACGATATCCTTGTTTCCCAAAAGTGTAATATTTACAATATTGCAATTGTAAAATGAAAAGTTTCCGAATGATTTTGCTTTATTTGCAAAAGAAATATCTTTTAAGCTCTTGCAATTCTGGAAACAATTGTTGGGGATAATATCTAATTTGTTTGAGTCAAATACATCTAAATTTGTGCAATTACAAAATGAATATTCTCCTAATTTCATCACTTTTCTGACAGAAACTTCTTTCAGTTTTTCACAATATGCGAAAGCATAATTTCCTATTGAGAGATTTTCCGAATTTATTTCAATACTTTTTAGATTGTTTTTATCTTTGAATGCGTTGTCATCAATTACTAATATATTAGAACTTAGTTTAAGACTTTCCAAATCAAATGAATTCTCAAATATCTTATTTGAAAAATACAAATAAGATGAGTTTGATTTGATAATACATATCTTCAAGGATGAATTAGCAAATGCATATGTATTTAAAGAAATTTGATTGGCTACAATACTAAGTTCATGTAAGTTTCTATTAGATGAAAATACATAATCATCAATTATAATATCTTTGACATTAAACACAATTCTGTCTAACATTGAACAAGAATTGAAAGTATTGTTATCAATTTTCAATTGTTTGATTGATTTTGTAACAGTTATTTCGATTGTTTTAAGATTGTCGCATTTTTCGAATACATTTTGAACAATTTGATATAAATAACTTGAAATTATTGATACCTTTTCAACCGATTTGCAATTCTTCATCATGTTTTTATTAATTTCCGAATATTTATAATCTATAAAATTGATTTCAATCAAGTTGTTGCATTGTTCAAAAGGAGATCTTGTTAATTCATTAATAAATGCCAATGGAGATTTAATCTTTCTTAGATTATTGCAATTATCTAATGCATTTTCTTTTAAAATTGTTAAATTTGACAAATCAATGAAATCAAATGATAAACCACTCAATGATTTAGATCCAAGTTCAATTATTTGAGGCGATAATGCAAAATCTAAACTTGTACAATTCTCAAAGAATTCACTGGGAACATAAAAGATAGAATTCGGGTAATTGAAGTTTCTTAGATTTTGACAATTTACAAAAACCGATTTTCCTAGAAATCTAATACTTCCAGGATTAAATATGATTTCTTTCAAAGAAGTACATTTATAAAATGCTCCATCATCAACTCCGAAAACTCCTTCTTTTAATATGACTTTTTCAATACTAATACAATCTTTAAACATAAATTTTGTCACTTTTCCTAAACTTGAAGGTATTGAAAATTCAGAAGACAATGATGTGCAACCGTCAAAAGTATTTGAACCACAACCACTCAAAGTAGACGACAAATTGAATTCCATCAATGAGTTACATTGGTAAAAAGCAAAATTTCCGATTTCATCAATCGAACTTTGAAAATTGAGAGATTTCAGATTATGACAATTGTAAAATGTAAAATCTGGAATAGATTTACAAAGTTTTGGCCAAGTGAAATTGATAACGTATTGACAATTCCAGAATATACCATTTCCTATACTAGAAGTTAATGTAGGAAGTTCCGAAATCATCAAAACAGTACAATTTGCAAAAGCTCCTTCTTCAATCCTTTCAAGTTTCTCATCAAATATAATAGAAACAAGTCTCACACATCTTCCAAACATATATTTCGGTACGTACGTAAATCCTGTCAAATTGAAATTTAATAAATCTGTACACCAGTAGAAAACTCCTTCTTGAATCGTTGTAACTGATGCAGGAAAGTTATCCATGTGTAAACATTGACACATTCTGAAACAATACTCTTCAATTACTTCTAATTTGTCATTGAAATTTATTTTTCCTAACAAAAAGCATTCATTAAAACAATACTTCTGTAATCGTGTAAGATTCGGTGGTAATGTGAATTCTCTGAAATTAACGCATTCATAAAAACAATATGCACCAATTTCTGTAACAGTACTAGGAACACTTTTAATATTAAGCATTTGGCAATTGTTGAATGCACTTTCTCCAATATAAGTTATCCCCTCATGTAAGGAAACCCTTGTAAGACCTGTACAATAAATAAAAGTTTCTTTTTCGATTCTTGTGACATTATCTGGTATTATTATACCGTTCAGTTGATATACTCCACTAAATGCAGACTCACCAAGCTCTTCTAAAGCTTCAGGAAGAAGAATCTGAATAATATTATAACAATCTTGAAAACATCCACTTTTTATTGATAATATACTATCCGGAAGTGTAACATCTTTAATTAAGTTATTGTTCCTAAAGGCATTTTTATGAATAATTTTCATTGTTGAATTTATAAAGACTTTTTCCAATATTGTGAAATTTTCAAATGAACTAGGACCCATTGATTCGATTGATTCTGTAATATAGACTTCCTTTGTTTGATTTTGATATTGCTCAATCTCCAAACGCTGAATTTCTCCATCTCCGGAGATATTTAGCACTCCATTTTGAAACGAATAAGTTGCCGATTGTAATATAATTTCTTTTCCTATGAGGAATGCTAAGAATCGGAAACGAAACATTCAAAATGAAGCGGCTTTATTCAATTCATCAATTGAAATTATAAATACTTATTATGAAAAAATAATCTATTATGATCATAAAATAATATTATTGAACTTTAAAATTCAGAGGAAGAGATGTGTGGGTGTGTTGTAAATATTTAAAAAATTTACTCTTACAATTGGAATATCCTCATATTTAAACATTATGTAATGATGTTATATATTACATATGCTACAAACACAAATAAAATTATGTAATGATGTTATAAATTACATTTATCTTAAGAAATATCAGACGGCAGATGCTTGGGGACAATGACAATAAACTTCACTAATGTCAACTTGTCTTATTAAGTAAAGTAATGACATTTTTTCGTCATCGGTTAATTTGAACAGATCTTCATGGTTTTTGAACCGTGAAGAAAATTTAAAATGTTCGCTCTTTGAAGCAAACTTATACTTTCCATATTTGTGTATATTAGAGTACTTACTTACATCTTTAGTTGAACAAAGATATTTACAAATATCATAATCTCATTGTTGCATAATTAAGAGTAGTTCTATGTAAAATGTTAATGGAATTAACAGCACAAACTTCTGCTGCAAATTTAACTCCTTCACGTTTTCCATTTTAACAGAATTCAGCTAAAATTGAATTATGATATATACAAGTTTAACATCAGCATCAGGCTTGAGAAGAGATTTAAGTAAGAGTTTATTGTGGTGCATTGCTGCATACATACATGTATATATTCTCCAAATCCAAAAATTGCAGATATTTTTTATCAATTGCAAATTTATATGTTGTTTTATCATCAGATTGATAAAGTTAATATATATGGGAGCTATGTGGTTCTGGAAAGCTTTTTAACTTGTATATGCATTCATAGGTCTTAGGTGAGTCATTTGCAATAGATTATATCACAATCATAAGACTAGGGAAAGTGAATCTACAAACACAGAATTTTTAAAATATAATTATATATCTCGAAATTTTAACATGGCCATAGTAATGTTTATAGATAATTGTGAACACGATCAATTCAGAGATTAGATTATTAGTTAAAAATCGAAATAGGGAAGAAAAATACATTTATCTACGATATTTTTCCTGTAGTTCTGATATTTCAGCATTTTCCTCATCTGTCAGCTTTAACAGCTCTAAAATTTCACTAGAACCTGAATTCATTTTTAAAATAATATCATAAATTGGGACAAAAGAACGGCCTAAAAAACGTCTAAGATACTTCTTTGTTTGTTTAAATGAACAAAGATATTTACAAATTTCATAATAACCATGTTTTGCAGCATAATAATGTGCGGGACAACCGGTTTGGCGATTTGATGAATTTGTGCTTTCACCACAATCTTCTACTGCAAATTTAACTCCTTCAAGATTTCCATTTTCGCAAAATTCAACAAGAATTGTATTAACTGAACTATAATCTAAATCCTCCACACCAAGGTTGTGAAGTATTTTAAGCAAAAATAGATTGTTGTTTTTTGCTGCATAAGTACAAATAGTAGTACCGAAATGTTCTTCATATCCCATTAAATAATGGTATCTGTTATCAATCGCAAATTTGAGAGTTGTTTTGTCTTCAAATCTTGCGGCTTCATCAATAGTATCATAGAGTTTTTGAAATTCCAAAGTTAATGATTCATTGAACATCTTTAAATTTTTTAATATATTAATGCGCTCATCGTGTTGTAAACAGAAATTCATCAAAAGTGACACCTCAGAAAAGCTAAAATATTGAATTTTTGGAACTTTTGATAGAGCACGTTTTTAAATATTAATTAAAGTAAATGTATATTTTGTAAAGATTCTTTTTAATAAAAAAATAAAATTTTGAAGAAGAACACAAAATCTTCTGAAAAATAATATCACATAAACTCATATTATTTTCTAATATATAACTATTTTATATAAAAATCAAATTCAATGATCTTAAAAGCGAAGGATAAACCTCAAAATTTACGAATATAATGAGTGGGAATATAATGCTTATCTATCATAAAACCATATGAAATATCAATTTTTGCTTTACGCCTAATTTTTGACGACAATTAGCAAAAAATGTTAAATGTTAACACTCAGTCCATTTGAATATGAAAAATAAAATTGACTTTGATTAAATGTTTTTATTTATCATGCAATTCTTCTTGCGACCAAAGATTTGAATAAAATTTCAAAAAATAAGATAGCTTAAAAAATAATATACGGTAGTGTTTACTAATAGATGAATAGTATATAAATTCTATTAAAATGGATTTGATCCAAAAAATATAAAACCAAAAATAATTGTTATAATTTAAATGAAGAAGTAATTTAAAACGATTTTATTTATGATCAAATTTTATATATTTTTTTGGATCAAATCCATTTTAATAGAATTTATATACTATTCATCTATTAGTAAACACTACCGTATATTATTTTTAAGCTATCTTATTTTTTGAAATTTTATTCAAATCTTTGTCGCAAGAAGAATTGCATGATAAATAAAAACATTTAATCAAGTCAATTTTATTTTTCATATTCAAATGGACCTGAGTGTTAACATTTAACATTTTTTGCTAATTGTCGTCAAAAATTAGGCGTAAAGCAAAAATTGATATTTCATATGGTTTTATGATAGATAAGATTATATTCCCACTCATTATATTCGTAAATTTTGAGGTTTATCCTTCGCTTTTAAGATCATTGAATTTGATTTTTATATAAAATAGTTATATATTAGAAAATAATATGAGTTTATGTGATATTATTTTCATTCTATGAAAAGTACTCTCAAAACTAACTTTTTCCTAATTATAATTAAATCTAGAATATTGTATTATGCTTAGTATTATTTCATTTTTCTCATTCAATTTAGAATTTACAAATGTCAAAAAATTGAGAGCTGTCACTTTTGATGAATTTCTGTTTATTACAAAAGTTAAAATGTTAATTTTTTGGAGATGCACTGTGCCTTTTTTTAATGAAAAAAAATTGAATCGTGGAAAAAAAAATCGAAAATTTTTATGGAATTTTTATTTTTAAATTTTTTAATGTCTGAGCAAGACCTTCATCAAATTGAATACATTGAATTGAGAAGCAGATTTAAATACTACATCGATGTATATATTGCATTGTATCAACTGAAAACGGAAAACAAAGAAGAATTAAACTCAATTTACAAAATGATCAAAACCGAATTGATTGATTCAAAGAATTATCGACCACAAAATATAATCAAAGATATTTTAGATATAATCCCATATAATAATCGCTATATAAAGTCATATTTATATCTTGCCAAACTCGTATATGATGATTATAATGTCACATATGTCAAAGTTGAACATATTTCAAACTTCCTGTTTTACAAAGAATTTGGAATTAAATTAGACGAATCCGATGATTTCAAAATAACTCAATATGAAGATCTCGATATTTATGCAAAAAATACAATTCCCAGAGCAATTATGGATGATGATAAAGAAAGATTCATCTGCTTCATTGAAAGCGAAAGATTTGACGAAGATCAAAAATTTTATAGCAAATTTTTCCCAGAATCTTATGAAGTATATTCATTACTTGAATTATGTTGTTACTATGGAGCTGTTGATTGTTTCAAGTTATTAATAACTAAATTTAACTCAAAAATAACTCAAGCATGTCTAAAATATTCAATTTTAGGAGGAAATCCAGGTATCATTAGTGAATGTTTGAAATATCAAAAACCAAATGAAGAATGCATGAGATATGCAATTATTTCACACAACATTGATTTTGTTACGTTCTTGATGAATGAATACAATTTAGAGATCGATTTAGAAGATTGTGAAATTTACAATAATCTTGAATCCTTTTTAGTTTATTTTGATCAAACTAATGATGTTAGCAAATGCTTTATTATTTCAGCAAGGTTCAATATTCCATCTCTCTGTGAATATTTCCTTTCTATTGGTGCAAATATCAATGAAAAAGATAAATATGGACAAACAGTTCTTCATTATGCAGCAGAACATAATAGTACAGAAACTGCTGAATTTTTTATTTCACATGGTGCAAATATCAATGAAAAAGATAATAATGGAGCAACAGCTCTTCATTATGCAGCAAGATCTAATAGAAAAGAAACAGCCCAACTTCTTATCTCACATGGTGCAAATATCAATGAAAAAGATAATGATGGAAAAACCGCTCTTCATTATGCAGCTCAGAATTATAGTAAAGAAACTGCTGAACTTCTTATTTCACATGGTGCAAATATCAATGAAAAAGATAATAATGGAGTAACAGTTCTTCATATTGCAGCAGAAAATAATTGTAAAGAAATATCTGAACTTCTTATTTCACATGGTGCAAATATCAATGAAAAAGATAAATATGGACAAACAGTTCTTCATTATGCAGCAAGATCTAATAGTACAGAAACTGCTGAACTTCTTATTTCACATGGTGCAAATATCAATGAAAAAGATAAATATGGAGAAACCACCCTTCGTTATGCAGCAAGATTTAATAGAAAAGAAATAGTTGAACTTCTTATTTCACATGGTGCAAATATCAATGAAAAAGATAAATATGGAGCAACAGCTCTTCATAAAGCAGCTCAGAATTATAGTAAAGAAACTGCTGAACTTCTTATTTCACATGGTGCAAATATCAATGAAAAAGATAAATATGGAGCAACAGCTCTTCATTATGCAGCTCAGAATTATAGTAAAGAAACTGCTGAACTTCTTATTTCACATGGTGCAAATATCAATGAAAAAGATAATAATGGAGTAACAGCTCTTCATTATGCAGCAAGATCTAATAGAAAAGAAACAGTTGAACTTCTTATTTCACATGGTGCAAATATCAATGAAAAAGATAATAATGGGAGCAACAGCTCTTCATTATGCAGCTCAGAATTATAGTAAAGAAACTGCTGAATTTTTTATTTCACATGGTGCAAATATCAATGAAAAAGATAAATATGGACAAACAGCTCTTCATTATGCAGCAAGATCTAATAGAAAAGAATATATCGAATTTTTTATTTCACATGGTGCAAATATAAATGAAAAAGATAATAATGGAGCAACAGCTCTTCATTATGCAGCTCAGAATTATAGTAAAGAAACTGCTGAACTTCTTATTTCACATGGTGCAAATATCAATGAAAAAGATAAATATGGACAAACAGTTCTTCATTATGCAGCAAGATCTAATAGAAAAGAATATATCGAATTTCTTATTTCACATGGTGCAAATATCAATGAAAAAGATAATAATGAAGCAACAGCTCTTCATTATGCAGCAGGATTTAATAGAAAAGAAATAGTTGAACTTCTTATTTCACATGGTGCAAATATCAATGAAAAAGATAAATATGGACAAACAGTTCTTCATTATGCAGCAAGATCTAATAGAAAAGAAACAGTTGAACTTCTTATTTCACATGGTGCAAATATCAATGAAAAAGATAATAATGGACAAACTGCTCTTCAAAATGCTCCATGCTATATAAGTGACACAAAATTAGATCTTTTAAGTGGTCGGAAGGAAAGAATAAAAGAAACAAAGGAGTTGATTCCAATTGGAAAGTACTGAAAAGCGTTCTTACATGCAATATTAATGATTATATCATATACAATGTTTCGGAAAGAATTGTTCATGTAAATTGAGAGAGTTTTCACAAGTTAATAAAGAAAGTAGTTAATAATATGTAAATAAAACAAAATGTCAATATACAATAGTAAAATAAAATGTCATTTTATTTAATATTTCAAACATTTAGGTTACTGATTGGTGTAGCCTAATTTATTACACCAATTAGCAACTATCCTATATAGTATTCTTAGTTGTATTGTCAGTTATTCTCCAGCATTATGCAATTTAAAATCAACTTCGTTAATTTTAATTGCATTGCAACAGTACTCCTACATGGATAAAACATCAAGATTGCACTTGCCAAAGCAATACATTAAAAATCCAAATTTTGCATCTCGAAAATGCAACGACAGAATTCCTCGTAATTTTGAGTTCTTATTTCGCTTATGAAACATATTCAAATAATTTGATTATAGAAAAAGTTACTAAAAGACGGCTTTTATATATAAATTACTTATAAATTACGATGATCTCTATAATGAGTGCACAGCACTGCATATAATCGTTATGATTTGATTGGAATAGTCATAACTCTAATCTAGACGATAGTTACTACATTTATGCGAATATAGTACGTTTCCATTCATCTATTTACTTGTTGTTGTTGAAATAAAAACTTTATTATTTTACTATCTTAAGAATTTTGTTATGGAAATAATATTTGCAACAACAATAAATGATTCAATCATGACATTACATCAACTATAGAATGAATTTTTATTAAATATGATATCAAAATCAAAAATTAGAAGTTTTTTATTAGTAAAAACGATTCCATTTGATGATTTGATTAATTATATAATACTTTGATTTTCCAAATTTTTTTCAAAATTGATTTTTTCATTTTTCAATTTTTAAATTTTTTTGGAATTTTGAGTTGATTAATTAAACAGAATGAGTATTGCGAATGCTTTTTATATCTCACAAAGTGATGAGTTAAAGGTGAATTTTTAAAAATTATTTTAAATCACAAATATCGTCCTTATTATCCTTTTTTTTAAAAAAGAATAGTACTAAGCATTGATAAAGTATGATCTATATTAGTAAAATACTTGAATGAGAAGTGTAAAAGTAAAGATTTTCCATCATGTCTCTCACTCTGTCACTTTTTGGCGCCCTCGCTTCAGTATCACACACTAGAAGTGTTTACCCTTTTCAAAAAATTTACCCTTTTCTCTCATATTTTCAACATATATATATAATAAATTAATAATGCAAAATTTCCAACCCTGAAGAGATAATGTGATTGCCCGATTCTACCAAGTTAGTTGAAAATTTTTTTACCGAAAAGATTACTCATTTCTTTTAAATATTATTGTTTTATAATTTTATTTTCTTTAATGTTTATTTGAAGACTTCAATAAACGTTCTCATTCTTTGTGTGACGTTATGCAGCTTCTTTGCAAGAATATCAAACTTATGTATTCTTATGTCATCAATTTTGTTCATTTAATTTACAATTTCTGTCCTCTGTTCAATCTTAATGTTTTATAATTATGCTTTTCATTTAAATTCATTAATAAGATAAATTTCGACATTTAAAAATCTGTCCTCTTTGAAAAATTTTGAATATTATTCCGCCAATTTTTTAAATATTTGCTTCTTAGGTTCAAGCTTAATGATGATCAAATACATGAAATTATTCAACAGAAAAGAATTGTTATGCTATTTTATAAATGCTTAGATATGCGATTAAAATTTATGTATGTTTGTATGTAACTATATTTGTTTAGAAATAAAATTATGAACTGGGGAAATTAAGTATGTTTTTAGGCTTCTGTGACGTGCCACTTAATCCATATGTTTAAAGGCTGTTTTTCAATGATGCTTCACACCAGTTGTCATAAATTTGAATTAAAGTCAGATTTACACATATTTTAATTGTAATTTTTGCTAAAAATGATAATATTTCATACATATACGATTTATATTAATATTAATTTGTGTTCAATTCAATTTTGTGCAAGAATTCCAAAATATGTTAAACTCCTTTTCTTTTGTAAAGTCTCTTATTCAAATTTTTGATAGAGGTTCCCTCAATATTGAGGCAGAAAAACGATAGGGGGAGAGGTATGCTGACTACCCTTGATACGGGCCAAATGCCCCCAAATTTTGAATATAGCTTCTATGCATGCTTGTGAGCAATGTTTGTAGGGATGCGACGGTTTTACGCCATGACCGTTTAAAAATAGAATAATACGCCATTTTTGGGGCCGAATGGCGGGTACGAAGTACCCGCCATTCGGCCGAATAACAAAACAATACAAAATTATCGCCGTCCTTTTTTTTCTTTCTTTCTCTTTTTTTTTTCTCTCTCTCTTTCTTTTCTCTTTTCTCTTTTTACTCCTCTTTCTCTTTTCATCATTAAACGTAGAAAGATATATTAATATTATTTTAAAATTAAAAAAAAATAAAGAAAGTATAATACCCAGATTTGCCTTACTTTTACCACCTCTCTAAAGCTGGGGACACCGCCTATCGTTGGGAGTAGCTATTAAATAGAACCACCAAGGGTATTTTTCGAACAGCTGGTGTAGTGTAGTGGAAACATTCGACATAATGATTCATTATGCCAAGGTTTGATTCCCATTTAGCCAATTTTTTTCTTTTTTGGATCATGAATTTTTTTTTGGGTCACTAAAAGATTTGTTTCATGTTCTAAATCTGCTGCATATGTAATCTATTTTTATTTACCTATTTTTTAAAAATCTATTGGATTGCCAAATTTGAATATATTTAAAATCATAAAACTCCAAAAAAACTATAAATATATGTTTTATACATAGTGCCGATACTCAAATATCAGATTACTTAGATCCATGAATAATATCCGAATTTTTTTTCTTAAAATTAAACTTCAAAACTTCTTCCAATCTTATTCTTCATCAATTGTAAATTTTTAAAACCATTTTTTAAAATAATTTTGCGTAAATTTTATTCTCATGTTGTTTTAATCGAAAATTGATACATTTTCAAAAAAATAATATTGACTTATGAAATTCATTTTTAAGGTGAAATAGTATTGTTTTTATTAAAGTATATGAATAATATATAAAAAATTAATGAATATATAAGCAGATTTTTAGTTTACAAAACAAATATGAGCAATGCAATTTCAAACTTTTGCTGGCAATTTCGATATTGCTCAAGTTTGTAGTATTTGTGATACCTATAACATCGGCTTAATCAAAATTCGATTTTTCTTATGAGTTATTGAGAAAATTTGATTGCAATGAGAAGGATTTCGACGTTTTTGATAAACTAAGAGCTGAGCTTTAGGGGTTCAGTTCATTTATGGCTGTAGTTTGATGCGTAGATCTCTTTTTTATTGTAAATTCTTTCAGCATGGAGATCGAGAATGAATCTTTTGAGAACTTTATGAGTTTTTACACCCGTAAAGAGGTCCTTCGAGGAAAGATAGTCCAGACTACATGAAGATGTGGGTTAACCAAAAAAATCCGATGGTTTCCCCATATTCATGTAGATCTTCGAAAAAATGAGCACCAAAAAAGCCAAAAAAATAGGCTTTTTATTGGATTTGTACACTAGATCAATAATCTATTTAGGATCTGACACTCTTTTTAGCCAGAGATATGAGGTCCTTTCTAGGAAAACGATCTATTCATCCATAAAAAAAATGAATTATCGTTTTCCCCAGAAATTACATGGGGAGTGGTAAAAGTAAGGAAAATCTGGGTAAGTAATTATTTAGTTATCGATATATATATATGTAAAGTGATAATCTGAGGATAAGCTGAGGAGGAGTCTGAGGATTAGACCGAGGAGTAGTTTGAGGAGTAGTCTGAGGAGTTTGAGGAGTAGTCTGAGGAGTTTGAGGATAATCTGAGGAGTTGTCTGAGGAGTAGTTTCAGGAGTTGTCTGAGGAGTTTGAGGAGTAGTCTGAGGAGGAGTTTGAGGATAATCTGAGGAGGAGTTTGAGGATTAGACCAAGGAGTAGTCTGAGGATTAGACCGAGGAGTAGTCTGAGGAGTTTGAGGATAATCTGAGGAGTTTGAGGATAATCTGAGGAGTTTGAGGATAATCTGAGGAGGAGTCTGAGGATTAGACCGAGGAGTAGTCTGAGGAGTTTGAGGATAATCTGAGGAGGAGTCTGAGGATTAGACTGAGGAGTTTGAGGATAATCTGAGCATAATCTGAGGAGGAGTCTGAGGATTAGACCGATGAGTAGTTTGAGGATAATCTGAGGAGGAGTCTGAGGATTAGACTGAGGAGGAGTTTGAGGATAATCTGAGGAGTAGTTTCAGGAGTAGTCTGAGGACTAGTCTCAGGACTAGTCTGATGAGGAGGACTCTAAGGAGTAGTCTGAAGAGTAGTCTCAGGAGGAAGATCTGAGGAGGAGTCTTATGAGGAGGGGTCTAAGGAGTAGTCTGAGGATGATGAGTAATCTGATAAGGAGTAGTCTGAGGATGATCTGAGGATAACCTGATGACTAGTCTAGGAGTGGTCTAATAAAAATGTAAAATATTTTCAAAGAAAAAATTCTATGAATTTTATATTTTAATTCTTAGCATTATACTGAATAAAATAAACATAAATATCAAAATTTTAAAATTGAACACGCTCTACCTTAAGGAATTAAATTTATTAAGATATATTTATATATAATAAACGATTACCTAAAAAAAAGTATTTCATCGCTTATGTAAGTTTCAAAAAAATCACGAAAATAAAAAAATCAAGATTAAGATTTTATTTTTAATTTTTGAATTTCTCAAATGGCGAAATTTTTGGGCGAACAAAAAAAATGTACGCCCGGTCAAATGGCGTGTTTAACGCATCCCTAATGTTTGTGAACATGCAAGAAAAACTATCAGCCAATTTTGAGGAAAATGCACTAGTAATTTGCTTGTATTTTATGCTCAGATTATTTTTGCCATTTTGGAATTTTTAAATTTTTTTACATATTTAGCTGATTTATTTGAATTATGAATCGACAAAAACTAATTATTTTAAATTCTAAAATAATATTAATGCTTAAATTTCATATATTACAATAATGAATAAAAATATTATATTAATCATCATGAAGTATGATTTAAATTAAACCATTCAGATTGTAATCCGAAGTTTATAATAATCTCACATATCTTGCATGTTTTAATAATACTTTCTCAATGAGCGAATAAATGATGAGTTAATACCAATCAATTAGGCTTTCTGAGCAAAAATATCTAAATTACATAAATGTGTGAACTATTTACTAGTATTAAGATAATTTATTCCTAATAATAAAAAAAAAAATAAAATAATAATTTTATAAGACATACTAAATAGTTAAACATTATGCATACCATGATGCTATAAATCATTATCGTATTATTAATTTTGCTATTTTGAATAAGTCAGTAATTGAATTTACGTGTAACTTTTTTTAGCTGATAGTTTTTAAATAAATCTATTCTAAAGGTGATACTTACCATGAATCTATATGTTTTATAGCTATTACAAGGAAAACCACCTGTACAAAAAAAGTTAATAATTTAGGATTTTAACATATACGTTTGAGTAATCTCCCATGCGAATTTCTTAATGATATGGCGTTTCCGTAAAGATGAACAAATAATAACATATATGATAATAAATTTGATAAATCTTTTGTATAAAAGCGAAAACATCTATATTGTTACGATCGAAAACATAATATATGAAGTGCTTTTTCGAATGACTTTACTTGTTTCTAAAATAATGTTATGCTTAGCTCTAGACGTGGCCATTAAAAATGACGTTAAGAGAAAAAATTAACCTTATTCCAGTTAGCATACCTCTATAGGGAGACTTTACGTAGGAAAATGGGTTTAGATTCTAATTTAATTGTGGCTGCATTCGATCTATAAAAATATATTTCTAATGTTTAATGTTATTTTGTCAGAATCGTAGCAATTCTTGTCAATTTTTCAAAAAATTATTTAATTTGGCCGAAGGTGGCGTGCTTACCCGAAGGGCAAGCGAAGCCACCTGAGGCCCCAAATTATATATGATCAAATATATATCTTCGCACTGCAGATCAATAAATCACATGATATGATTGTTATTATTCATTCATATCATTCATATTTGGAGCCTAATGATTCTATTTATCTTATTTATTTGTCTTAATTCTATAGGCACTTCAATGAATTGAAAAGTGACATAAATGAATGAATTAAAAGATGTCGAAATTTCTGAGTATGCTCCAAATGTTATCGAGCGAAAACAGAGAGTATCTTATGTAATGATGGTTGTTATATCTGTTGTGATTGTATTTTCTCTGATATTTGGACTATTTTACGCTCAGAACGTTTTATCATCTGTTGATATACATTTTTCTAAAAGGAATACTTCATTAATTCTCTTAAATAATGGTCCAAATACAGATTCTGTAGAATTTGAACTATATTTTAGTGAAAAAATTCCAAAACCTCTTCATTACAAACTGGAAATCATCGGCACTCACAATGAGAAATTAAAGATAACGAATATTCCAGTAAGTATACAACATTTAGTTGGAACAACTGGTAATACTCATCAAGTTTCAACATTAAGTACAACATTTCAATTTAATATAGACGCAAACAAAACAAAGCCGAAAACAATGTATTATACAGTAATTCCATCCAATAATTCAACATTTTCTTACGTATTCAAAACAAAAGGTTTTCAATTTTCTCGTTATTACTCGAATTTATATTATTTGGACTCAGACATAACACCATTAGTTTATTTACGAAATAATATGCTTAATATTACCTTTATTTCTTTCATGATTCTCATAATTCAGTATTATTTATGTAGAAAGTCTTTCACATCATCAATGGCGCTTATCATCGGAATATTTGCTGTAATTGCATTTAATCCAAGTGTAATTAAGCAAGCATCTAACGATTTTATTAATATTTACAGACAAATTTCTTATTCTCTATTTCTAGCCATATATTACGCTGCTGTTCCAACAATTGCGCTTTCTTATTACCCATTTTCCAATTTGCTACCAACATTATGTTTCTCATTCTTCGTTTTGTTTTCATTTTTGTTATTTATTTCAGTTTTTCCACTTTTTACGCCTAGACATCAGCCATTTTACATCATCGATGGATTTAATGAATATCCGGACTCCGAAGCACTGATTTTTGCATTGCCATTGATTGGATTTCTTTCGATTTTCGGAATAATTCTTCTTGTCATTGCCACTTTCTTCGTAAAAGGGTCTGATTTAGTCAAAATACTACTTGCTATTGCTATTCAGCTCTATTCTACGTGTACAACGCTTTGGACAACTTTCAGACCTTTATCTTTCCCAGAAATCATAAAATTGCACCAGCACGTTGGGTTGTTTTATGATGGTATAGTACATGTTATCTGTTCCCTTGTCTTTGCCCTCATTTTTACTAATTTTGATACCGAAATTGATATGGAATAAAATTATAGATTTTTTGTTTGTTAATATGAATAAACGGAAGATTGTTTGTATATTTCTCGTTTTAAAATGCTTTATCTGTAAGATATTTGCCAAAATTTATATCGTTAAATCAAATTTGGCCCAATGATTGTGATTTCTGAGTATAAAATAACAAATACTTGACAAATTCTGAAGCGCTAAAGTCAAAATATTGTAATAAAAAAAATAATCTCAATTTCCTCCTAATTTGAAAATATCGGATATATGGCAGACATACATTAATAGGTGAATGCTTCTGCTTCAATTTAGACTACATTTTCCGAACCCCGTAAGATGCTCAATTTATCCTCAAAACTCAAAGGTTATGTAAACCATTGTACATGTTTCTATCATCATTATTACTTGAATGTGCTGTTTGTTAACAGTTTTCTAATCATTCAATTCTGATTTTCAATAGAAGTATCATTTTTCATTCAATTTTCTACATTCAAAGTTATCTAGATTTTACACATCATTTTTAGTGATGTCTGGAGAAAAGTCTAGTCATGATACTGCCCTAGAACTCTTGGATAAGTATAATGGCTATAGTGATGAGTTCATCGAATTATACAACTTAAAAACTTTTGACCAAGAAGAAATTAACAAACTATATAATGCAATCAAAACCAAGTTGATTGATTCAAAGTTATTCTTGCCCTCAGAAGTCATATTCCACATATTTGCTGCTATGCCGTACAATATTCGCTATTCCAGATCGTATTGGACCATATTCAAGAAGATTTATGAAGAGTACCACCCAGATAAGATCAATATTATCCATCCTATAATACACTACTTCTTTTACAAAGAATATGGAATTATTGTTCATCAAAAGTTGAAACCTTTATTTAGCTACTTCGATAAAATGCACTACACATTAGAAGTTCATGAGGAGAACACATTATATCGAGCTATTATGGAAGATGACATTAATGCAATGATTTCTTTCACAAAGAAGAAAGGATTTGATAAGAATCAAGCATTGTGTCATGAATATTATCCGGAAAGTCCTCTATCTCTTCTTGAATTATGTTGTTATCATGGATCTCTTCAGTGCTTTAATTATTTAAGATCAGAATTCAAATCAAAGATCACCATGAAATGTCTCCATCTTGCATGCTTAGGCGGAAATAAGGATATCTTGACTGAATGCATGCATGAAAGAAGACCAGATTAAAAATGCATGATATATGCTATTAATGCTCATAACTTTGAACTGGCATTATTCTTGAAGATGACAAGTGGTCTCAAAATTGATTTGATGGAAGGAATATTGATCAATTCAAACTTCCCAATATACGCCCTCTATTTGGATGTAACAAATGATCTCGATACTCTCTTTGTTTATTCTCCATTGTTCAAACTTGCATCATTGAGCGAATATCTTCTTTCCCATGGAGCAAACTTCAATGCAAAATCAGAACGTGGAACAACTGCCTTGTATTATGCCGCAATGAAGAATAACTGTATTATTATTAAGAATCTAATTTCACTTGGAGCAAATGTCAATGTAAGAGAAATTGAGGGAAGATCGCCACTTCATTATGCGGCATGCGGTAACAGTAAAGACGCAATTGAATTATTGATTAATCAAGGAGCAAATATTGAAGCTGAAGACATATTTAAACTCGCTCCACTTCATATTTCTGTGAAAGAAGATGCAAAGGAAGCTGCAGAAGCTTTGCTTTCTCATGGAGCAAATTTTGAAGCTTCAAAATCATGTCAAAAATTTTGTACAAAGTTGAAAAATTTACTCTGTAATACATGTGAATCATATTTTATCATTTATTTAAAAAAACTACACTTTTTTGACCAAAATAAAATTTCAAAATAATAATAAAAATAACACCACAATACTTCATAGAATATATAAATCTGATTTTTATAGATTTTACATGAAATAAGCGATAAATTTTTGTCACTTTTTAAGTAGGTTATGAGTGAACGATGGCGCGAGCAGACTGATACAATGTGGCACAAGTCTGTTAGGAATCTCCAGCATGACTACGAAGAGAGTACTGACATTATTGATACTCTAATTGAAAAACTGTGGAGTGGAGCGCTTCCATCAATTGTCGAAGTCTCTTATATCATTGAACGATCAGTTAGTATTCTCAAGCAAGAGCCTAATGTCTTGAAAATTGATCCACCATTCACAATTAGCGGCGATATTCATGGCCAATTTAATGATTTTAAACAAATGTTTTTTCTGGCAGGCTTACCTCCCTACACTCGTTTTCTATTTCTTGGGGACTACGTGGATCGCGGCGATAAAGGCATGGAAGTCTTTTTAATTTTATGTTTATTCAAGATAAAATACCCAGAAAACTTTTATTTGATCAGAGGAAATCACGAAAGCATTAATATTACTCGAATCTACGGGTTTTACCAAGAAATTCTTGTTAAATATCATTCTGAGAATGTTTATAACTTATTTGGAAAGTTATTTGAAGCACTTCCAATTGCAGCACTTATAGGAAACCAAATTTTCTGTGTTCATGGCGGAATTACTCAATATTGTCCCACCATTGAAGATATCCAAAAATTAGACCGATTTTCAGAAATTCCTATTACAGGAGCACTCAACGACTTACTCTGGGCCGATCCATCTCTTGATTCCGCCGGATTTACAGATTCTGAGCGTAATGCGGGCCACAGGTTTGGATCTGCTGCTACAGATAAGTTCTGTCATCAAAACAACGTCAAACTCATCATACGTGCCCACCAAATGATGATGGATGGCTGCAAATACTGCCACAATGATAAAGTTTTGACAATTTTCAGCGCTCCGAACTACGAAGGAATATCGCAGAATAAAGGTGGTTTTGCGATATGCGACGAAAATCTTAATATTGAACTTGTTAAATATGCCGCTGCTCCCCCAGAAAGCGACAATGACCGATTATCTAATCTTGTATTTTAATTATTTCGAAATTGAACTAAATGTATATGTAATTTACTATGATCTTTAAATTCTACAGAAAATTTTTAAAATTCATCATAAAATTCACGATAAATTTAATGGAATTTGAAATATAATTCAAAATATGCTAAATGCTTAGCTTTAAATTCAGTATTTTGATTTGAACTTTCAAAAACTTTAGTATTAAGAGAAAATATTAGATTTTTGATTGTATTTTACTAACATATGCCCAAAATTGAGATAGAATCTCAATTTTACATATACCATAAGATATATGTGGTAAAATTGGACCTAATCACTAATAGAACAAATCTTAGTTTATAATTCGATAATGAATTGAAATAAAATCTAGGAAATTCATATAATTTATGAGACTAAGGATGCCGTTTTGCGAATAGTGTCACTTTTATAGCACTAATTTTAGGTATCTTGCGTGCGACTTAAAATATCTAAAAAATTTTTACCTCGCATTCGGAAAAGACCTTCGCCTTCGGCTCCGGCCTTTTCCGAATGCTCGGCTATAAAGTTCATTCTATGCACGCCGCCCTTTTTCCTTTTTTTTTCTTCTTCTTTCTTTTTCTCTCTTCTTTTTCTTTCTCTTTTCTTTCTTTTCTTCTTCTCTCCCTCTCTCTTTGTTTTTCTTTTTCATTAAAATTGAATTTTTATTTCAATAATTATTACTTAAATAGGTTTCAGAATAGGCAAACTTTTAATAAATAGAAATTTTTGTGGATTCTGAATGTTCAAATTGAGAAATATCCAATTGTGGAATCATATTTTAAAAATGTTAAGATTTTATGAAGAAAAATGTCATTTCCTATTGCTGTACTGTAATGTAGTTACCAGATCATGGAAGAAATTTTCATAAAAAATATATTTCGCTAGCGAAATCAACACATATTCATGATATCCACTTCGGAAAATGATATAATTGAGTTTTGCATTTGAAATATTTAATATTTTCATAAAAATCTATTGAATAAAATTATCTAATTTTTGATTTGAAAGAATTCTATCGTGAAATTTTGAAAGTATCATTAACAATCCGAGAGCAGTATGATGGAACAGTTATATCATTAATAGCAACTATAGGATATTTGACAATCGCAAATCGCATTTTTGACAAAATATCATGGGGGTTCTATAAGCTTACCTATATATGTAGATTCCAAAAATCATAAAATAAAAACGTGCGATTCTGACAAAAACCCGGCCAAATAGCACGAAAAATTGAATGGAAGTAGCAACTTCACTAAAAATCAATAAAATCGTGAAATTTATTATTTATTTGATACCTTTAAACTAGTGTTCACCGAAAAAATGGAAATATCATAAATATCATTATTCTCATTTTTAAAAAGTGCCAATAAAGCGAGGTAGAAAAGTGCCAAATATCGTGATATAGGATATTTGGAGAAAGTTGCTAGCATATCCGTTTTTTTCGCAAAGCGACATCCTTAATGAGACTTTGATATATTAATATGGTTGTTTCTTTTAAATGCATGACTAAACTATATATATTTATACAAACAAAAATAAATTTATATAATAAAAAAATACAATTAAACGCTGAAACCGAAAGGTCTTTCGCCATTTTGCTTAACAATGCAGAAAGGACGGTTGACTTCTGTCATCAAATCAAGCTGTGCCATATACAAGTTCTTTGAAACACCAGGAGGTCTATTTGGAATCAACATGAATATTGCAGATGCGTTAGATGAATATGTCCTTACTAGGTCTGCCATAAGAAGTGATCTCTTTATTTCTAAATTATCAGAATAATTCGGATTTTCTCCTACAGCAGTACAAATTTCATTCCATCTATTGATAGTCAATGGTGTAGGTTCATCTTGAGATATACTTGTTTCTAATGTCATTACATCAGCTGTAATTCTAAATTTATATAGTAAATTCGCAAGATTTACTTCTTCTTCCTGAGCATTTGCTCCTGCATCTAAATCTGCGACTGTTATAACTCTTAGGCTTGTTATTTTCTTCCATTTTGGAGATTTTGATAAAAGATAAGCCAAAATCAAGGTGAAACCACTTCCATTGATATTCCACCATACATCAATAAATCCCTTTGTTATCTCTGATAGCAGTTTGACATGCCTTACAACGAAAGCGTTTAAAACTGCTTGTTCAGCGATATCCAGCGATTTAATGTATTCTCCTGCAGGAATATCAACGAATTGTGTGTCTTTCCAGTCCTCTGGGAAAACCAAGCATAGTGTATTTGGCCTCATTCTACCTATTCCCATCATTAATATCAAATCTGTCACTCCTTCAACGAAAGTCTTTGCGCTTGTCACGTCATAGAACATTTTATAGCCATTCTGAGTTGTCAGGTATGTCGATTCACGCTCTTCGACCAGTTGTTTGAAAGTGAAATTTGTTGCTTCGTCGACAATGTGGACTCTTCCGACTGCGGCCATTCCGTTGTTGTGCAATAGCATGTTTAGGAAGTCTATTGTGGGATGCCTTTGATCGGGGTGAAGTGTTGTTATCAAAATGATATTTGGTCGGAAAGTTTTTGGATGGGGCTGAACGTGATACAAAGCTAATTCTTCTTTTAGCGTCTGGTAGAAAGTTTTAGACTGTGTGACTGTTCCCCAGTGGTCTTCCATGTGTCTACATCTGAATATGATATAGAAAATAATCGTCAAAGCTATACATGGCAAAGCAATGTACCAACTAATTACAAACATCCTTACAATGCAAAGAATCGCGCATATCAGTGACAGCCATTTACTATAGAACTTGAAGCTCGGCCTAAACCCCGGGTAATGCGCTGTTGCTGCGGTCCAAACTGTGTAATTTACAAGAGAAAATGGGAGAAGGAAGAAAATGTTCGTGATATACGTCATCATATCCGATGAGTCGATGATCGAGAACAGTATCGAGATGATCAGCTGGAAAATATGTCCCCACATTGTTTCTCCATTCACTTTCCATTTACTGAAGAACTTGGGAAGCAGCGAATCTTGGCACATGGCTGATATAATTCTACTTCCGCCTGTATGCATTGTCATAGATCCACCAAAACAAGCGGCAATGAATCCGATGTAAGTAATTATGGGTACTGCAGAGATTCTGAGTGCCCAGAACTTGCCTTCGATTGACGAAGAGTACCTAAACGAACATGCTTCGAGAATAAATGCTAAAATTAATAATACTGATGAAATCAGCATTGAAACGAATCCTCCGATTGGAATTGCACACCTCGGAGGATTCAGATTACCACTAAAGTTGGCGCAAGTCATAATTGCGTTCGAAGCCGGGAATAAAATTCCAAATATTGCTAAAATTCCTGGTTCATGAACGTGTTGTAAGCCAAAGTTATTTCTGAGTGTAGATAGTGATAATCCTGTAAAGAATTCTGTGGAATTTGGCTTTCTTATGAAAAATCCCAAAAAGAAAACCAAAACTCCAGCGAGAAGAAGCACAAAAAGGAAAACCATGAGGTAGAATATCGTTCCTATACCAAATAGAGACACGAAAAATAGAATTAAGTTGAAAATTACTTGCCATAAAGTTCGATCCCATCTTGCTGAGTTTGTTAAGAACTTTGGACTGTAAAAATCGATGATTAACGATGCTGTGTAGGTTAAACGGAATGATATTGCTGTTGTATGCGCAATAACTAGAATTAATCCGGTGGCGCCACCAATTTCTGGTCCTAATGTACGTGAAAGAAGGTAGTAGAGACCTCCATCACACATATCTCCGTTCGTAGATATAACACATAAACTAATTAGGGTAATATATGACATAACGTGAGATGCAAATAAAAAAAGAGAGGCAAGACCCCAACCAATTGATTGTATTGACCTATGAAGATCAACAAAGAATGTAATGCATATTAAATTTAAAAACATAGGAATAAAAACGCCAATAAACCATTTAAATTGTTCACGTTCGGCTGATTTTTCATAATGAACGCTAGGTTGTCTTTCAAATTCAGTACTTGGCTCTCTTTGACGTCTGAGTTCTTCAATTGCTGGACGTGCCTGTGGTTTTCGATATAAAATTGTATCTGGAGATCTATCTTGATCATCGAGAAAGCCAACATTTGAATCACTAGGAGGTACTGTTCTGATTTCCTCCTGGTCTGGGGAATTTACTTCTTCCGAAAGGCCAGGTGGCTCTGTCATAAAATAAAATATAAAAATAAAATTCAAAATTGAGTTTTTACCATAAAATCTATCTCATACACCAACGAATGTTACTGAACTTAATCCTTCCTTTAAGAAGTGTATCTTTGAATTAGGTAAAATATAAGCTTGTCGAATGAACTGGTAATCGCAATTGCAGCATCAAGAAAAAAGAATTCTTTTTCCAGTTTGTATCAACTTAATTTGTTCGAAACCATGCTATGCAACAGACTTATTTCATCTGATCACAATAAAACATGATTATCATGAAATATTTATTAGATTTTTGTTAATTCGCTCTTGAAATCAAAAATATCAATTACCCAATAATTACTAGCGGGTAAATTCTTTCTAGCATGAGTTAATTTGGGAGAAACAAAATTCATAATCATTTGATTTCTTTAATTCTTCGCTGTGTAATTCTTTTTCATCTTTATTTCTAATCCCAAAGAAATTGTGACATGCAACATGGGACATATGATTCATATGGGTAAAGTATTGAGAATATTAATTATATTTTTAATTCATTATCGAAATTACAGCTGATATAAGAACTATTATATGGTGAGATCATGAAAATCTACTTTCATGGGTAGTATGAGTCAATTTTCGACATCATTAAAAAAATTAAATAAGACAATCAATTTTATCAAAATTGAATGACAAATATAAAAAATGTCGGGTAAGGAAATGTTAGATTATATAGCTCCAATCGAAAGGAGATAATTTCTAACAAAATTGTTCTTTGTAATAGAGAGTGCAGTTTTTCCTGCATTATTCTTTGCACCTTTATTTGCTCCGACAGAGATAAGATATTTTACAATCTCAAGATAGCCATTTTGTGATGCAAAGATGAGTGCAGTATATCCATCATTATTCCTGGCTTCTTTATTTGCTCCAGCAGAGACAAGATATTTAATAACTTCAAATTGGCTAACGCTTGTTGCCCGAATAAGTGGAGTATATCCAAAATCATTCTTTGCTTCTTTATCAGCGCCAACAGATATGAGATATTTAACAACTTCAAGTTGGCCTTTTTCTGATGCACAAAGAAGTGGAGTTTGTCAAAATTTATCCCTTGCTTCTTTATTAGCGCCAGCAGAGATAAGGTATTTAACAACTTCAAGATGACCCTTTTCTGATGCCAAAATTATTGGAGTTTTCCCATTATCACTCTTTGCATCTATGTCAGCTCCAACTGAAACAAGATATTTAATAACATCAAGACGACTATATTCCGATGCATAACTGAGTGGTGTAAATCCAGAATTGATACTTCCAATTTCTTTATCGCAGCAACATTCAATTAGAGATTTAACAAGTCTAAGATTTCCTTCTTCGCAAGCTACATGAAGTACATTCCTTGGATCATCAACCACTGATTTTTGAAATGTCTTTTTCCAAAGTCCTACTTCACATGCTTTTGAAATCATCTTTTGATTTCCTTGAGATGAAAGATCATTAAAGAACCTATAGACACGTTGAAAATCATTAGAATTGTTAAGTTCTGAAATCTGTGATAGTATTTTCTTCTCAAAACTGTTAACTTCATCATTTTTACCTGTTTTGCTCTCTTTATCTTGGAGATCTCTCCTAGATCTGTTATTTTCTTCATTTGTTTGCTTGAGTTTTCTTTCTTTATCTTGGATATCTCGTTTTAATACATTGTTTTCATCATTTGTTTGCTTGAGTTTCCTTTCTCTATCTTGAAGATCTTTCTTTAATTTGTTATTTTCATCATTTATTTGATTAAGTTTTCTTTCTTTTTCTTGGAGATCTTTCTTTAATTTGCTGTTTTCATCATATGTTTGTTTGAGTTTTCCTTCTCTTTCTTGGAGATCTCTCTTTAATTTGTTGTTTTCATCATTAATTTGCTTGAGTTTTCCTTCCCTATCTTGAAGGTCTTTCTTTAATTTGTTGTTCTCTTCATTTGTTTGTTTGAGCTTTCCTTCTCTATCTTGAAGTTCTCTCATTAATACATTGTTTTCCTCATTAATTTGATTAAGCTGAAATTTGAGAGATTGTATTTCTGTGTCACTTTTTGTTTGTCACTTTGAATTGCTTTCAACTGTGTTTGAAGAGTTTGGATTCTCTCTGGAGAATTGGGCATGTCCCTTTCTGCTTGTATTAAGAAAGCAATAGTTCCATCAAGAACTCTCATTTTAAGGTACTTTTTAAGTGATTTCAATATATTGATGACTTCTTCATAATTTTGTATAGTTACATATGCATTTCGAGTACTAGTAAATAATTTGTTTGCTTTGATTGTAGGATGTGATTGTTTCAAGAGAGTGATGAAGTCATTTGTTGTAAAATTTGTAAATTTCATGATTTTTTCTATATCATCTATTTCAAAGGTTGTAAATAACTTATCTTCATTAATGTAATCATTAATGTGAGCTGCAATGTATTCAAAATTCTGATGTAGTGCTTCACCCATAGAATTATAATTCGTGGAATTTTTATTCACTTTTCCCGATGAGTTTTGAATTTTCTTGCACAATTAACACTTAAGATCACGCGTATTTCGATGTTTCCGAGATATTTACACCAAGTGGTATTGTATTTTCTAAATAGAAACTTAATTTTCTTGATTGAATATATTTCATGAAGATCAAATAAAACATTAAGAATATAAGTTTATTTTAAAACAACAAATATATCCATTTAATGATCAACTGAGAATACTTCGAAAAATGATATTGCAAAAATTATTCTTGCAACTGTGGTTTGAATTGATTTCTTCATGATTTTGAAAACCTTATTTTTGTGCCTGATGCTTTGTTTCTCAAATTCAAATTCAAAAAAAAATCTTTTTATTTTATGTTATTTTCTTACAAATGCTAAGATATGATAGCATCGCTGTGTGTGGCAAGAGACGACAAAATCTATGAAATTCAATTTAATATTGTAATTTGAACAAAGTTGGTTGCTATTCCTTATATAGTTGAGAGTACCATTCGTGGGGAAACATGCAGGGGATGTTTGTAACGTTATTGTACAAAAAATCTTATTAAATGAAATCTGAAATCATTTTCAGAATCAGAAACGAAGATATTCACAGTAAAATTAAACAAAGATTACGGTATATAGCTACTCACCTTTTAACACCAACAAGAAGCTTCACCAATTGGGCGACCTTTCAGATTTGTTGTGTGTATTTCTTCTGAACTTACTATATTGTCCTTCGTTTGCTTGATTGCTTTGGCCATTTCAATAAACATCTCATTAACATTTGAATTAAATTTTGCTGAAGTTTCCATGAATGGCATACCGAGTGATTCTGCAACATTTGCTGCTTCATCCTTTTTAACTGCTCTTGCGCTTTCTAAATCGGATTTGTTTCCTATTAAAATTTTATAACTTTCTGGGTTGGATAATGACTGTACATCTTTGACCCATTGAGGTATTGCATCAAATGATTCACGATCTGAGATATCATAAACGATAATTATTCCATCGGCCGCATGATAATAATTTGAAGTAATTGTTCTAAAGCGTTCTTGACCACCAGTATCGTATATTTGGAGTTTCACTAGCTTGTCATCTACTGTTACTGTTTTAATTTTGAAATCAACACCGATTGTAGAAAGATAATTATCTGAAAAAGTATTATCGCAAAATCTGAACAATAAAGAACTCTTTCCGCAGCCTGCGTTTCCTATTAATACAATTTTGAAAATATAGTCAGGATCTTCTAGCATGTTTCAAACAATAAAAATTATTTTGACATGTAAATTTATTATTTGTAAAGGTCAAAATCTTATCTACAATAGTTTTATCGTCAATCGATAGAAATGAGATAAAAAAGTGATAAAATTTATTGAAGAAATGATTCGTTTCTTCTTAGTCTTCAACAGACAGGGTGCGGTTCGTCTTGTAAAATGGTACACACCATACTCAACCGCAGAAAAGGAAAAGCTTAAAACTGATATCCATCGTCTTGTTTGCCGCCGTGCTTCAAATCTAACAAACGTCCTCGAATATAAGAACTATAAAATCATCTATCGTCCATACGCTGCTCTTTTCATGTGTATGTGCGTTGATGCAAACGATAATGAATTTGCTATCCTCGAAACAATCCATCTTTTCGTTGAAGTTATGGATCAGTACTTCGGAAAGGTTCGTGAATTGGACTTATTGCTGCAATTCCATAAAGTTTACGCAATTCTTGATGAATTTATTGTCGCAGGCGAAGTCGGTGAGTGCAACAAGCAAATTATTGTTGACCGCATGAAGATGCTTGATGATCTTAGTTAAAATACTTACGAGATTGTAAATAAAAGCATTCCATTTCTCTTGAATATTTTATCAATTTAATGTCCATGATTTGTAAGAGCTCTTCGTTTCTCTTTTCTATTTATTTTTATCAGAAATATAATCTTTATAAATTATTTGGTCTTAGATGCTCTTATTGAAGATAAAAATTAAAATGTATGCATAAAGGGTATATGAAAATAAATTAATTATGTTGTCCAATGATAGGAGTTGTGATGCAAAAATCTTTTCAAAATCTTAAAATATTTCCTGGATAAGATATTATTTCAGTACAAGAGGAGTTACTGAGGAAAAAGAGTTAATAAGAACAGTGATGTAGTTACGGATTAGTATATTAGGACGCCGATCGTTATAATTAACACCTCCTCATAAATCTCTTGTGAAATTCCAGAATTGCAGAGTTTCTGTCTATATTTGGAATGTAAAAAAATATATTGGTTTCAAATAAAACAATACTTTTTAACATAAAAATTTTATATAAAAATAAAACTAATTCCGTAGATAATTTTAACATGATATATGATGCTGTAAAATCCCAAGAAATTCATTTTCAAGCAAAAGAATGGAAAATTGCAAATTAAAATGAAATAACAAAAATATAAAAAAGATACGCTCGCATAGTGATTAGATAATCATAACTTATAGCTGGTATGCTTTCCTAAATTAATAAAAGTAATTATAAAATAATACGGGTAAAACCTGAAAAAAAATTAAGGAGCCTTTGGTTGAGGTATTGCATGTACTGAATCTCTTGACTTGCGAACGAACAACCCTTTCTTTGTTAAATCTGAAAGAAGTTTGTTATATTCTGCTTCTGCATTATCTTTCAGGTCTTTCCACTTTCTGATTTCTTTATCGGCGACTGATGAATGAGTACTAGATCTATTTGTGATAGACTTTTGTCCTTGAATATTTTCAAGCTCCATTTGAAGTCGTGAGCGAGTATTTTCAAGTTCTTTTAAGATTCTTGAATTTTCATCTATCTGTCTCTGTAATTCTTCTTGTCTTTTAAGTAAAATTTCTTTTTCATTTGTTTTGTTTTGCTCTGCTCGTTTAACTTTTGCACCATTAATAGATTCTTTTGTAAGAGCACTGGCATCTATGATTGTCTTTGTGCTTTTCTTTATATTCGTTTTTACTTGAAAACTTGCGCTTGGCATTGTTGGAATATATTTATCCAATTCGAGTTCTTCAAAAAGTACTTCATCTTTAACCTCTATTTCGGACAAAACGCCATTAAGAACTTCTGCGATTGTTCTCCCCATTACCTGGTGTCACTTTTTCAAAAGTGAAGGATTTTAAAAATAGTTTACATGTGTTACAACTAAATACATATAACGATTTATCGCAAGGATATTGTTTTGTCCTCCAGGGGAATAATGCGTCCCCCACTTGGTCGGGTCCCCAATTGTCCCCCAAGCGACATCCTGATTTATTGCCTGAGGCCCGAAATTTTTTTATATTGGGGGGACGGTTCTGACAAAAAATCACCTGTGAAAATTGTAGGATTCTTTTGTAGAATTCTTTATGCCTTCAAAATTGGCAATGATCCTTTTATGCATTTTTAACGGTTCTATAGAAAACGAAAAAAGTGACTAAAAATTGAATTGGCGAAAAAACATAAATGAGCTTCATTTAGTCATATTTTAATCAAGAAGATTTCAAAAAAGTTCAATGAGTTATTAACTCATCTTCATTTCGCCATAATGCTCATTGTTTTCCAACGTTCCAACTCAAACTTAGCTTAAATTGCTTTTCTAATTTCGCGAGAAATTAGCCAACAGTCTTACCAACGCCTTTCATTCCTTTTGCCAACGAAAGGATGCCCTATTTTCAATACAAACTTGGGCCATATCCTCACAATATCTTAATTATTTTATTAATTTTACTTAATTTTGTTTTATTTTGTTTTGTTAAGAATAAAAACGTCGCCATATTCAATGTTTAGTTATTTTTTTCGTTTTCTAAAAGAACCTTAAAAGTGCAAAAAAGGGCCTGCCAATTTTGAATGCAAAAGAATTTTAAATTTTTTCATGTCTGTTCAAGACATTCACCCAAATAAATACAGTGAATTGCGAAGTATATATAAATACTATATTGATTCTTATAATGCATTGTATCAGCTGAAAACTGAAAAAGAAGAAAATTTAAACCAGATTTTCAAAATGATCAAAGAAAATTTGATTGACACAATGAAAATCCGTCCTCAGAGTATTGTAAGAGACACTTTAAATACAATTCCATATAATAATCGCTACACAAGGCCATATTTAACTATTGCCAAACTCATTTTTGATGATTATCATGTCAAAGAGGTCAATAATGTTGCAAACATTTCAAAATATCTATTCTATAAAGAGTATGGGATTAAATTAGACAGAATTTGTAATTTCAGAGAATATGAATTCAAAAACATCGATATTCATAGAGAAAATACAATTTACAAAGTAATTATGTATAATGACTTAGAAAGATTCATTGCATTCACGGAGACTGATGGATTTGATAAAGATCAGGTGCTTAACAACGATCTATATCCAAATTGTATGTCCGGATATTCATTACTTGAATTATGTTGTTACCATGGAGCAGTTGATTGTTTCAAGTTATTGAGAACGAAATTTCATTCAGAAATAACTCAAGAATGTCTAGAATTATCATTTTTAGGAGGAAATCCAGAGATTATGAGTGAATGTTTGAAATATCAAAAACCAAATAAAGAATGCATGAGATATGCAATTATTTCACATAACATTGATTTTGTTACATTCTTGATGAATGAGTACGATTTAGTGATCAAGTTACATTGTTGCGGAATATACAATAATCTTGAATCGTTTTTAGTTTATTACGATCAATCTAATGATATTAGCAAATGTTTTGTTTACTCGGCGATGTTTGATATTCCATCCTTGTGCAAATATTTCCTTTCACTTTGTTCAAATATCAATACAAAAAAGAAAGATGGGAAAACCGCTATTCATTGTACAGCATATAAAAGTTGTATAGAAACGGCCGAATTCCTTATTTCGCATGGTGCAAATATCAATGAAAAAGATAATGATGGACAAACCGCTTTTCATACTGCAGTATATCATAATAGTAAAGAAATAGCCGAACTTCTTATTTCACATGGTATAAATATCAATGAAAAAGATAAATATGGAAAAACCGCTCTTCATATTGCAGCAATTGGCGATAGAAAAGAAATAGCTGAATTCCTTATTTCACATGGTGCAAATATCAATGAAAAAGATGAAGATGGAAACACCCCTCTTATTTTTTCAGCAATATGTAATTGTAAAGAAATAGTCGAACTCCTTATTTCAGAAGGTGCAAATATCAATGAAAAAAATAATGATGGACAAACTGCTCTTTATAATGCAAGAATTTATAATCTCTATTTTATTGGCAAAGAAACAGTAGGATTTCTTATTTCGCATGGTGCAGAGTAATATTGTTTAATGATAATCTTGTTTTGTTTGAAGTAAGGCCAACAATCTAGATATCCTAAAATTGTTCAGCAATAAGTGCTCAATCTTAAGGGTTATTGGTAGATCGATTGAATAGTCTACAGCTATTCAATTTTTAAGCTTTAAGATGCTTGTTCCTATGATATCATTGAAATTTTTTATGAATAAACGTAAATATAGCATGCATTCATCATACTCTATGCTTTTACTGTTTCATAATAAAAAAAATATCTCAGGATGAAGACTCAATGAGTAAATATAGTACATTTTGTAAACTAAGCACCTGAAGCCATAAATTTTGAAAGACAATTTAGCAAAAGTGAAAAGCCTCTCCACACATTCCTTTTGGCTCATAATATATTATATTGCGAAACAGAAAATCTTAAACTTGAAATTTGAGAAAGGTGGCAAACCTTAAAGATAACGTGGGTGATTTTTCGCCCAGCCATAAGGATCACACTTTTGAGAGTTTTACATGGCATTTGCCGGAAAATGCCATGTAAAGTTATCTTAAATATTTTAGGGTAAGTACACCTACAACCCCTGGTAAAAAATTGAGAATAAATTACATGATATTTGTCGGCAAATGCCATTTAAAACTCTCAAAAGTTGGGCCCCTTATGTATTTTTTGAAAGTTCATCATATCTTTAATGGTACTATTTCAGCGTGTACAATGGAAAAAAAAAAAAAAAAAAAAAAAAAGGTAGTGGGGCTTCCAGGCACTTCGTGCCCTCTAGCCCTGAAGATGTTTAGTATAAATGAAGTTTTTATTCGGAGGGCTTCCAGGAGCTTTTCACAAATTATATATGTTTTCATGTTTTGTCACTTTTCTGTCACTTTTCAGGTAAAAACATTTTTATTATATATATAAAATGAATTTTACAAAACCACCGTTACCCTTCTTTGGAAATAAGAGTAGATGTAAAGATATTCTATTGAGAGAACTTAAGAAACTACCGAATGGTCTAACATTTGTAGACTTGTTCGGTGGAAGTTTCTATATATCTCATTTGTGCCATACAATATTTCCTGACTCAAAGATTATATGCAATGACTTCGACAACTATATGGACCGTCTCAAACATATTCCAGACACAAACAATATATTGAAAGCGTTAAAAGAAAAGATACCTATAGGTAAGATGGAACGTATACCATTAGATAAGAAAAATACTGTCAGAGAGGTTTTGAAAAAGGCAGAGTATATTGACTGGGATAGTATATCTGCTAGACTATTATATAGTGGTGCTATAAGAGTTCATGACATTGAAACACTTATGTCAAAAGTTTTATATCTTAACTATACAAATGTTTTCAAAGAGAACATAGAAAAATATATTGAGGGTATAGAGTTTGTGAGATGTCATTGGACAGAGTTGTATGAAAAATATAAAAACAAGGAAAATGTTTTCTTTATAGTGGACCCGCCGTTCTATAACACATGGGATTTTCAATACCAAGTAGACTGGACTTTGAGAGACTCTTTAGAAACTTTAGACGTTTTACATAACCATCCATGCTTTTACTTTACATCCGATAAAAGTGGTTTGGAAAGTGTCATGAGATGGTTAGAGGACATACATGACTATGAGTTTAGATACGATAAGATAGAATATGAGAGAGGTCCTATAAACTGGAGAAAGTGTCATAACAAAGAAATTTTATTGGTAAGTAAATGTGGTTTGAAATAGGACTACTTGTTTTAGGTTTTTTCCATTGTGTCATTTACTTATTTGACGTGGCAGAAAGATATAGAGAATATGAAGATGAACCAATACCAGCAAATGTTCAGCATATGTACTCGTAAGAGATATTTTTATCTAATATTAAATGGACGCACAGAACTTAGCGAATGCACAGCAACCTGGACAACCAAACCCAGAGAATATTCCAAATGAAGTTAGAATACAAACTGCAATGGCAAACTATGGTCAAGTGCCAACAGATGTACAAATGCAAACTGCCATGTCAAATGACGCTGCGTTAGGCTTACCACCATGGTATGCAAATATGAGATGGAAAGAGTTTTATACAAACCCTGAAGTGGGATATAAACAACTCTATGCAGATGACGCGAACACAGGAGTTGACCCAGAGTATGTTTTCTACCAGAGGAGAAATAGAATGTATGAGCTCCAGTTAAAGAATGCTATGGAACTCAACAGGAAACGTAAGAGACTAGGCGGACATTAGATTTTTACATATAGTAAAATGGGTTTCTTCAGTAGTATTGGAAACTTCTTTCGAAATGTCGGAAGAGGTATATGGAATGGAATAAAATCTGTCGGAAGAGGAATTTGGAACGGAGTCAAAAATATTGGTAAAAGAGTAGGTCAGTTCGTTGGTATTATACCTAAAGACCCTGAACCAGAAGAGCAAGCTCCTGTTATACAACAGCCTGAACCTGCACCACAGTCTAGTTGGCAACCAAATCCAACACCTCAACCGTATTAAAAATTATATTTTTACCGTTCGATAGTAGTTGTATATGAAACTAAGTTCTAAGTAAAACGCATGGTATAATGGAATTATTCTCTTTCTTCCATCTGTAGTAAACCATACTTGAAAGTCTGAAATACTTCCACTTGGTGGTTCATATAACTTTGTAGGTTTTTCGTAAAAGTCATTTGCCAAGCATAAAAAAGAGTTTTGTGCGCCAGAAAATGAAGCATGAACTATAATAGCATCTGAGTCGAAAACATCTTTAAATAAATATGGTTCATCTCTTGCATATCGACTGTAAATATTTGCTAAAGGAAGTTCGACTTTCTGATTTAACATTCTTTGCAAATAATACCATGACATTGCAGTGAATTCTGTATATATTTGTTCGTCTTTCTTTGGATTGTCTTCGTAGATTTGAAATGACACTTGTGAATTTTGTTTGTCATATACAATTCTCACATAAAGTGTGCTCTCGGTATTTGCATATTCATCAGCATATTTTGCATAACATGAATTTATTTTATCTTCTATATTTTTTAACGCAGTCTGTAGAGAAGATGAAAGGTCAACTTGTATTAGCTCAATTTCTTCCCACATTTTTCGTTTCCCTTCAGATATATAATCTATATGAAACCTTACAATAAATGGAAAACTTTTATCTTCTACAGACACAAACTTCATTCTACGAAAGCCAATAGCTTTTGTGACAGATGGGTCTCTTAGCCATCTTAACGGGTAGTCAAAACGATAGCCTTCATGCTTTACGGTCTCTGTCTCAAACTTTTGACCGACATTAGTAAAAAGTTCATCTAATGGTTTAGTTGTAGCAACTCTTGAATTTTCTTTTTCTATTGAAAGCATATTTTATCTAGAATAAAAATGTCGAAAGAAACAGCGTCTATGAGAGAAATACAACACAACCGACAACTCATTTTGCAAGCTCTAAATAAGAACACAACAAACTTTTCAAACTATTCTAAGATATCTGAGTCATTGAAAGAAGGAAACTTAAAACTGACGATAAACCCAATGACAGATGAGTTTCTGTTTCAAGACAGTAAGAACCATACTGTTTGTATAAATCCAACAAAAAGAACTTTAAACGAGAAACCTATAGATGAACTTCTTTTGAAGGCAGATATTGACAACAAAGCTGACAAAGAGTATGTAGATGCAACAAGAGACTATATTCTCGCATGGACAGATAGAACATACCCACAAAAACACCATACACATAACATCTATGACGTAGATGAACTACCAGCAATGTTAGATGACAAAGCGGATAAAACATATGTTGACAATAAAATGTCAAGTGAAGTGACAAGAGCTGACAAAGAATATTCTAAAAAGACTCATACACACGATTTCTTCGCAACTGTTGGTATAGAAAATATTGCAGGAACGGTTGAAGAACCTGATGGAACTGGTGGGGATGTACTACTTTGGAAACCTCCTAACTTTCCACAAGGTTTAACATCGGATGAAGACATAACGACGATGAAATACACTAGATGTAGAAATGTCTATGTCATGGAGGATGAAAACAAAGTTAAATTCACTGCTCAAGATTTATATGACAACAAAGCTGACAAAACATATGTTAACGTTGAGTTAGATAAAAAAGCTGACAAAACATATGTTAACGATGAGTTAGTTAAAAAAGCTGACAAAACAGAGCTTCAAACATTAAAGACAGAAATACTTCAAACAGTATATCCTATAGGTTCTATTTACACGTCAATGAACTCTACCAGACCAGAAACAGTTCTGGGTTTTGGAACTTGGACTCAAATAGTCGACAGGTTTTTGTATTGTGCAAACTCTTCAAAGGAAACAGGTGGAAGTAAAACGATTTCAGGTGCAAATTTACCTGCGCACAGTCACTACGTAAGTTTAACTACATCTGAAGCAGGTTTGCATAGTCATAGATTTTGGGATTGGTCAGGAATGACAAAAGGTAAAGGATATGATGTTAAAGAGGACGTTAAGTTTGCTATAAATTGTTACTGGAGTACACTGAGGTAGGAGGAAGCCATACACATCGCGTTTCAGGTATACGCAAACAACGGGACAGAGTAAAGACTACATGCCACCTTACATGACAGTTTACGCATGGTATAGAAATGCTTAGTCGTCATTTTCAACTTCTTTAGCATATTCGTCAGGAGTTGTCTTATATTTGTTAGGAACTGTCTTTGAAAGTATACCACCTTGAACTTTGACAAGTTTGAAACGAGGTCTGACAATAGTAGTTTTATCTTCTGCTTGCAGTGTGTACATTTTGCCATGTTTGCCTAAAACTTCATAATATTCTCTTGTATACTTTCTTCTATTTTTACGAACACGAATGCGAGTACCTGTCGGGTTCCCATTGTTGTCATAGTCAATAGTATTTTCATATGGGTCGCGTTTAGGTATTTCTATTTTTACTTTGTCACCTTTCTTAAGTTTGAAGCCTGGCATTCTTTCTTGTTTGTCTCTTTTGACTAAACTATTAAATATATAGTCTTTCTCTAAGTCAGGGTTGTTTTTCATTTCTTCGGGGAGTGGTTTCCCAAACCTTTTTGTTTACGGTTATTGTAAATATTTAAAACTTGTCTCATCTTTGCCATGGAGAAGTGTCTATATTTGTCGTCATATGACATTTCATCTACCTCACCACCTTGTGGTTGGTTTAAGTCTCTTAAGATTTTTATACAACTGTCAATGACACCAAGAGCAGAATGGTTTTGGTCGACAATGAAATATTGGTTTACATTTTTTGAACGCAGATAGTTTTTAATATCGTCTGATTTGAAAGAACTTTCACAGTCAGATGTCAGTTTTGTTGGATGGTATTTGTCAACGAATATTGTCAAAGCAGTTTTCACATCTAAAATATTTTTGGACTGTAATGGTATGGCTTCACAGTATCTTGTGTTTTGACCGACAAATATTAGCCAGTATGGTGGTCCATCTTCTCTATACCTCGGAATGTTTTCCAAGATATCCATAAACCAAGCATTTGGTGTTGAACTAAAGATTTTTACCATGAGTGCTTTCTTTGTTGCCTTAGAAACATAGGGGTCCTTGTTCGGATTCGTCATTTTTTACCCTGTAAGAAATGGGTTTATTTGGCGCATTAGCAGGAGTTGCATCCAGATTTTTGCCCGCAGTGGGAACAATAGCCAGAGGTGTATTTGGAGTTGGAAGGAAGATTTTGAGTACATTAGGTATACTGAAAGAGAAAGCACAACCTATTATACAAACTGTACAGAAAGGTTGGGAGGTAGCACGAGATGCAGCAAATCTTATTCCAAATCCTGAAACAAGAGGAAAAGTTCAAGGATGGATGGACAATGTAGGAAGAGAAGCAGGAAACTACTATAACAAAGCAAATGACTACTATAACCAAGCAGGACACTATATGGACCAAGGTGAAAGATTCTTTAACAGAGGATATAACCATGCACAACAGTGGGTAAACAACAACCAACCTCAACCGCCTCAAACGTGGGAATGTAAATTTTTTTACTGAGATGAAATGAACAATACAGCATTGAGACAAATGGGTTCAAGATGGATTTGTCGACTTCCAGCAGTTACACAACCACGTGTTTGTCAAGTTCTTCCTATACCTCAGGAAGTTTTAGACCGACTTAAAAAACCTAAACAACCAGTTGAAAACAAAACAAACTAAAATTTTTTACTGAGATGAAATGACCGAAGAAGTTGAAACGGTAGATTTGACACCACAAACAAAAAGTTCAGAACCATTGTCAAAACCTGTCAAAGAACTTACAGATGAAGAGAAAAATTCAATAATAGAAAGTGCCAGGTCTTGGAAATACAACCCTAACTATAAAGTCACTTTTCATAGAAATGGAACGGCTAGTATCTCAAAAAAGAAACAGACTCTCACAAATAAAATATTGAAGTCTGAAGGAGCTTTCGAGACAACAGATGGGAAGGTATTCTTCACTGACCAACAGTTCATTATAGAACATCTCATTGACTTAGAGTCAAAATATTCTAAACTTTACAACAAACACAAAAAGTTGAAAGGAAAACAAAAAAACAAATGGCATATGATATTTATGAAGATGTTGACGACACAACCATACCTGCAAGTGAAGTAAAGTCAGGTGAACCAAAAAGTGACGAAAAACCGATAGAAGAAGGTGAGCCAAAAACTGAAGATAAACCAAAACCAAAGGTTAGTTTCCAAACTAAACCAAGTCAACCTTCATTAGCTGGTATGGGTTGGCGTCAAAGACTTTTGGCAGCAGGCGGTTATGTAAAGTAAAGAAAAAAATATTTTTTTATTTTTATAGAAATGCCCCCATATAGAATGGATAGAAAATCTGCTAGAATAAAAGCAGAGTTAGAAAGATATGGTTGGAAAGTTTCAAAGAAGTTTAAATATAGGAAGGGAAAGCCAATAAAAGTCTATGACAAACTGTCTGGTCTTCGCTACGAGATGGACTTAGAAACCGCGCGCGCCAATTATCCAAACAGACTCGAGAGGTTAGAAGAAGAACGTCTTATGGACATGCCTTTCGATGTTTCTGAGCCTCAAGTTGAAGGACACGACGGCTTTGCCAGATTCTACTGGAAACATGACGAACAATTGCATCCTTTGAGAAGGAAAAAAGGAAAAGGTGAAGACGCACATGCTCCCATGGAAAGAACAAGATATGCATATGAGAAGTATCGTGAAGTTAGAAGTAAAATTACATCTGGTCAAACCTTTACAGTAAACTTTGACGATGGAAAGAACAAAGAAGGCTTCATGGGTGTACTTGCTGCAATTCAAGATGGAAATAAGAAAGGATACAATCTCAGACTAACCGTAACAGATTTGGATGGTCACATTTACTATGCACATGGCAATGTCACAACAGCTGCAATGCTTCTTGACGCTTTCAAGACTACAAAGAGAGAACAAATGGTTGACTCCGACTCAGACATTTTGAATGCAATTGAAGGAATTGCAAGTGTCAAGTTCGAATGGTACCAACCTAACCCTCAAGCAGTCAGACAACATGCTGGATACTTCCCGTTCATAAATAAGTCTGACATTGACTTGACAAGGTATGGAATTTACAATTCAATTGAAACAATTGTCAATGAACCTTGCATTCTTACATGTCTCAGGAACTCTGGTCTTGTTACAGATGAGAAGATGAAGTATCTTGAGTCATGTGTGAAGACAAGGTACATTCTCAGAGGTCAATTGGCAAAAATTGCACCGTTGGCAAATGTCAATATCCGAGTCAACATACCTACAGCTAAAGGTTCTTCACACGACGACTATGTTGTTGACAAAGACTTACCATGGTTGAAGATTGTAATTGTCCACAACCACTTCATGTTGAACGAAAGTCTTACAAACCCATTGTTCGGAAAAGGCAAGTGCAACATTGTCAGAGCTGTAAACATTCTTTTCGAGAAAGGTTTGTTGGAACCAATTCCAGATGACAAGCTGACAGAAACTTTTGTACCAAAAGACGAAACAAACTTTTCATTGTTAGCAAGACCAAAAGTTGTTCCAGACAAAGTTATAGCACAAAAGAAGTACACTGTTCCAAAAGGAGTTGGATTGTTCGGATACCAACCTGAACCAGAAGAACTTCCAATGAGGTTGCAAGAACTTCAAGATGCTATAAACAAACTTCCATTGAGACATCCAATTGACGTCAAATTGTATTGGAGAGCATCTGAGTTAGGTCAGAAGGTTTTATATGAAACAGGTTGCTTCGACGATGTTTATGAGATAGCAGGCGAAGTTTCTCAGAAGATAAGAGACTCACTTGAATTTCCACGAACTGGACCCATTGGTTGCGACAAGTTCGACTCAAACGAAAAGATATACTATGTCGACCTTAACGCTGCATACATGAGGTTCGTCCAATATATCCCGACTGGAATTCCAAACGAAGACGGTGAGTTCCCAGGAAGGAACTATACAGTTGGAAAAGTCATACAACAACTGTATGATATTAGGAAAGCTTCAAACCCCAAACTTGCAATGACACTCAAATTGCTTATGAATTCGACATGGGGATATTCCATTAAAAACCTCAAAAGATGAAGAGTAAACACTATGAGAAGGTCGACAACTTTGTTGAAAGGTTTCCCCTTTTGTTTTGAAATACGAATTTACTCAAGGTCAAGTGGCTTAGTAACCACAGTAAAACCTATTGTCGAACATTGGTCTTACCCTCAGTTCGCAAAGGCAGTCCTTGACAACTACAAATTCTTCTCCGAAGTCAAATCGAAAGTTGTGGTTTACTATGAGAACATGACGCACTCATGACGAACGAAGAAGGATACAACAAACTCATTGAAATGGGAATGGTCGGTGAAAAGATGGGTCAATTCAAATTGGACAAAATTTTCACCGAAGTTCATGTCCTCTCCAAGCGTAAGTACTGGGGCATACTTGAAGACGGCACAGAAATAAAACATTGCATGAAGTAAAAAATTTTTATTCGAATTTGAATCGGACAGGTCGAGTTACACCATTCTTGGTCTCAAACTCATATATAACCTGTTTGTTTGTATTTTCGTCGACTATGGCACGAGACACGAACATTGACCAAACGGACAAAAAGTGTCATTTCGGATGGTCACGCAGCCAATCGCATTCGAGCACTTCGAAGAAGCCTTACGTTCCAAGGGAGAGGGTGTCTGGTGCAAGGGAGAGGTCATGAGACTCTACGAGCAGTACATCCTCAATGCCTGGGAGGACAAATCGTCCTTGGATTGGCAAATCTACCAACTCCTCTGGGACGACCTCCTACGCAACTGGGAGAACGAAAGAGTCCAATTCAAAGGTCGGGAACTAATTTTGCAAATTGACCTTAATTTCACATACTTATCCAAATAAACACCTAAATTTACTTGGGGTTTCCCCCTAAAATAAAATTTTTTTACTCTTAGAACCACTCGAGGTTCTCCTTACGGTTGTTGAGCTTGTCACCGTCAATGTGTCTGACCTTCGTCCTCTTGTTTGGATTTGGAACCCATTGAATTGCGACAAGCTTGCCCATGGAGATTGAACCGTAATTCCGAAGGGTAAGGTTCAAGTGTCCCAAGTTGTTGAGAACTGGGGTAAGAACCTTGCCGGTCTCCTTGTTGCGGATTTGGTATGGGTAGGGTTGGGAAATTTCGTAAGTGTCATCGGCAACAAGGGTTGCCCAAACTTCCTCTTCTTCGTGTTTCTCTTCTTCCTCTTCTTCCTCTTCCTCTTCTTCGTGTTTCTCTTCTTGCTCGACAATTCCTTCGGCAATTCTGTGTTCACGAAGTACGGTGTTGGAGGTTCTGTCCTTTCCGAGTACCTTCCAGATGGCGTCTATCTCTTCGAAGAAACGGTAGATGAGTCTGGCAAGGTCTCGGTTCTCTCTCGCGTAAATGCGCAAGGTTTCCGTCAAATCGTTCAGGACTTTCTCATTGGAAGCTTGGTTCATGAGGAACTCACCTTTAAGTCCCTTCATCTCTTCCATAAGACTACTTTGGAGAGTCTTAACGGTGTTTGTCAGATGAGCTTTCAAATTCAAAATTTGAATTTGAACTGGGCGCTTGTCTGGCAACATTGAAAGGACATCTGCCATTGTGTTCGGCTTCGGTGCTTGTTCGGACATCGAAAAAATGAAGTGGTTTGAGAATGACGGTTTTACTTCAAAAAGCTTGTTATGACGGTTAAGTCATACAACAAGTTTAAAATAATATCTTGTTCTTCTTCTGAACGTTTGTTGTCTCTTCCGATAAAAGTTTCGAACATGAGAACCAAAAAACGTTTTTTGAGATTGCGGAAGAGTTCAGGCAAACGTTCATATTCTGGATATGTTGGGAGCAGTTCAAAACATCTGAGCTGACTTTCGGACAAAATTGGGACAATGTCAGAAAATTCATCTTTGGTCGGACTGCATGAAGGTAAGTCCCTTACATGTAAGTAGCTCTGGTAAAGTCTTCTCATTTCTGCTAACTTTTGGAGTATAGCTTCGTAGTTTAGAAGTTTTAATTTTAATTGTCTTATTCCACTCTTTACTTCTAAACGGTAAGTATCCATGAGGTCAAGAGTAGCTTTGGTAGCTTTAAGTGGAGCTATTTGTTCCTTGACTTCTGCAATTTTGGTTGCAATTGTGGTTTGAGCTCCTTCAAGTTCGCCGTCTATGTCGTTCTCAACGCCTTCAACCATAGCTTGAAACTCTTCATCGGTCCATTGAGATTGGTGTGGGACGAATTTAACTTGCTTCATTCAAAAAATGAAAAAAATGTTTTTACTCAAAGCGTGCCATGTATATGGCTATAAGAAACTTACCAGAAGGCTTCTTCTTCACATGAGTCTTTGGCAACTTGAGTGTTGGTGTTGGAGTTGGGTGTGGAATTTCAATTCTCTCTCGAGCGCAACAACAGATGTCAGAATAACATTCCCCACTGTCTTTCTTGCCACCATAAATTGTGTATTGACCGAACTTGCATTTGCAGGAAGACCGGTCAATACAAGGTTCACAGTTGAAATAGTTGTACACAAACCTGTTGAGTACGAGTGTGAGTAAAAACATAAAAAAAGTGAAGTTAAACGTTAAGGTTTACTGAATTGGTTGGATGTCGCCTTCTGAGGTTATGAAGAACGGCCGTCCTGAGAAGTGGAACAGTGCTCTGAGAATTTGTATAATTCGTGGAATTGGACTCTCTCTGTTTGGAAGTAGTATCCATGGGCGCTTTGCAAAGAACTTGAGAAGAGCTTCTTTCTTCATCTCCTTTATGTCGTCGAAAGGAGTGTTTTCTGGTATTTGAATTGGAATTCCGGTTTCAATTTCGATTTTCAGCGCACCTCTTCCAGACAACCAGAAGCCGAGGGACTTGTTGGCTTTGTCCTTGCCCAAGTACTGCTTAACAACTTCATTTATCTCTATAAGGTAAATTGCCTCATCTAATGGCTCGATGTTGTCCATTGTACTGTTTCAGAACAATACTTGTACTTTTTCAGAACAATACTTGTACTGTTTCAGAACAATACTTGTACTGTTTCAGAACAATACTTGTACTGTTTCAGAACAATACTTGTACTTTTTCAGAACAAGACTTGTACTGTTTCAGAACAATACTTGTACTTTTTCAGAACAATACTTGTACTTTTTCAGAACAAATTTCCCGTAAAAGCTCTCAATTTGTGAGAAAAATTTTCTGTTTCAGAACAATATTTGTTCTGTTTCAGAACAATATTTGTTCTGTTTCAGAACAATATTTGTACTGTTTCAGAACAATACTTGTACTGTTTCAGAACAATATTTGCACTGCTTCAGAACAATATTTGTACTGTTTCAGAACAATATTTGTACTGTTTCAGAACAATATTTGCACTGCTTCAGAACAATATTTGTACTGCTTCAGAACAATATTTGTACTTTTTCAGAACAATATTTGTACTTTTTCAGAACAATACTTGCACTGCTTCAGAACAATGTCCGACGTCCCACCAACCGAGCCCATATCCCAACCAGAAGAACCGAAAGCTGCAGAACCACAACAGTCTCCTCAGCAACCTCAGTTCCAGCAAGTACCTCCGATTTACTACCAATTTCCACCTCAAGGTTACTACCAATTTCCACCTCAAGGTTACTACCCACCACAAGGCTTCCCGAACTACCCTCCTCCTCAGCCTATGCCTTACTTCCCCAACCCTTGGATGTTTATGCAAAACCCTGCCCCACAATTCCAATCTCAATCCAAGAGAGACCAAGAGTTCGAGGAAGGTCTGAACCGCTTACGCAAAGAGTATGCTACTGCCCCAATGGAAGACGACAGGCTTTCAGTCTCTTCCCTCAAATCGACCGATTCGACTCGTACCACAGATTCGGTTCGTGACCGTGAAGACTACCTCAAGCAGTCTGAGAGACTCTTCATCCTACAACCATTTACAGTTGGAGCTCTCAAGAACATGCGCAATTACGAAGGTCAGACACCAGCTGGAGACCGCAAAACAGACATACTCGCAAGAGCAGTCCAACTGGTCAAGACAAAGACTGAGATAGTCGACTTCATTCTTGCAGCTTGCCCATACAAGTAAAAAAATAAACAATTACGAGTTAAACTTTTTACTCTTTCTTTTCTGAGTTGTTTAGAGCTGGTTTCTCTTGTAGAAACCTTTCGTACTCTTCCATGGTCATGTAATTGCGAATTTGGTACGCAATTCCAGGTTCGTTGTTTTTGAACCTTACGTATGTAACGCTTCCATCCTCCTCAGGGAAGTAAGCTGCTAACATCTGACCAAGTTTTCTCGGTGACTCGGAGCTCATAAAAATGTCACTTTTTAAACGTTAAGTTTTTAGTCTTATTTTACCCTTTGTTTACCCTTTGTTTACCCTTTGTTTGTCAATGTAGTATTGGAGTGCAATTTCTCCAAATTCTCTGTGTCGGAGTTCTTCAGCATTTTCCAAGGTGTACCTGGAGAACTCAAAGAAGTTGTCAAGAAGATACTGCCATGCTGCTCTTCTGAGTTCGTCGGTATTTTGGAAGTGTTGCACCTTCGAGTCTTCGGACATGAAAAAATAACACTTTTTCAGCAAAAATATATTTTAGGTGAAGAGGTGAGATTTCACCTCTTTTTTCACCTCTTTTTTCACCTCATGAATTTTCATGATTTCATCGTAAATGTTTTGTCAAACATGAACGTAAATGTTTTGTCGAAACTTCATCGTAATGAGCGTAAATCAGACAAAAATATATTTTAGGTGAAGAGGTGAGATTTCACCTCTTTTTCACCTCTTTTTTCACCTCATGAATTTTCCCGAAATAAAAAATAAAGTTGTTTTTTTTTAAAAAAATATTTTTTTATTTTTATTGTAAGAACATGTTAGCAACAACAGCACCAAACTCTTTAGTCATGAACCCAACTTCAATGTTAGTAGAGATGAAAAGCTTCATTCCTTCTTCATATACTTTCGAAACAGAAATCCAGAAGATAAAGCAAGAACTTCTCCAAGGAGATTTAGATTGCACTGCGAAAGATGAAACAAATGAACAGTATCTTTACGACATGCAGGACATTATTGACCATCTACCTAAACTTCCTGAAATCCAACAACAAAAGCTTACTATTCCAGAATTCGATGAAATAGAAGTCAAAGCAACTGACTCAGTAGAAATAAAGAAGTTCATACGAAAGGTTAACTATGAGTTTCTTGGATTTCATTGCAACCACAAAGTCATGGACAAAGATTGCGATATGGTATATAAGAACATCTCTGACATATACAAATCTGGGGAGTTTAAGACCTACGACAACTTTGTTTCGTTAGTTGCAAAATGTGTATGGCAGATAAGAGATAAAGATAGAAGAGGTAAGATATGGAATGAACAAATAAGACCCGCAACTTTTGAGTTAAAGAGAGCAATTGACGCCTTAGTTGTTTTAGCAGGTAAGGTTTCAATGTACAATGCTAAAATGAACCGCAATGTTCAAAATGTAAAGCAGCAATGAGGAAATATAACTACTCCGTCAAAGAGATAGAACGTATGCGAAACGACTATGCTGACTTAAAGAAAGAAGTAGAGAAACCAGCAGAAGATAAAATGAACATGTTAGCATTTCTGAACAAAAACTATCCAACTGCTGACGATTTCCTTCTATCTGACGTCAAGAAGAAGTATAAAGAAACTTTCGGTATCGTTAAAACATTCGATGTACTGACAGAAGAAATAGAAGCTACGAAATTGTTTAGGATTTCAAATATACATCATACAATTCATGTGAAACGCTTATAAAATAACTGAGGTGAAAAAACAGGTGAAAAAAGAGGTGAGATTTCACCTCTTCACCTAAAATATATTTTTGCTGAAAAATGACCAAATTTCATGAAATTTCTCTAGACCGACTTTTACAGGGGTAGCCAAAACTCATGAAAATCGTGAAAAATAACAGAGTATTTTGACAACTTCAAACAAGTAGAGTAGATGAACTCTTTATTTTTCAAGCTTGACTTTTTACAATTTGAACTTTGTTCGCGTAGATGTGAATTCTGAAAGAAGTATGAGGGTCTTGTATGACTTTGTACTTCTCCCATAGTTCATGTCTGTCAAACTTACCTGCCATGGACTCTTTCATAAGTTCCATGAAATCGTCTTCGGACAATCCAGGGAAAAGTACAATGTCAGTAAGTATTCTTTTAACATCCTTACTTAAACTCTTTGCTGTCTGTACACAAATGACAACAGAGATGTTGAAGTGTCTGAGCTTCTTAAGAATTCGACACATGTCTTGTTCTCTGTTCTTTAACAAAGGATGAGAAGCAAAGTCATCTAAGATAAGAAGACACCTATGAGGGTATGTCTTCCAATCGTAAGATTGCAATTTCTTCGAAATGTATTCTATCTCTTTCTGTTTGTTTCTGAAGTGTTTCTTCTCTAATATTCTCTGCATTTCCTCATTTGGGTCTTTAAACTTAGAATTGACATACTCATTTATAGCATTGTACTTCAAAACTCTTCTTTGGTACTTCTTTATCCAATCTAACAACTCAGAGTCTTTATAGATACTAACTTAGACTTCTTTATAATATCTTTGAACGAATTGACGGTTTGGTCAAATTGACCAGAAGTACTACAAATGACTACTAACTCATAGAATGGGTTCTTCTCATCTAGTTCTTGTTGTTGTGCAGCCATTTTAAGATAAGTGAAAGTCTTACCCGACCCAGGTGGTGCGATTAGACCTGTTATACCATTCTGAGCAAATAAGAACTTGTCATGTATAGGCTTTATCTGAGCATTTTCTAACTTCCTCTTGTTCTTGTTAAAACATTCTCAAATTTCTTGTCAATGTCAGCAAACTTTTTTTCTAACATATTTTTAGAAAAATTAAAATTTTTATCTTTTTGAAAATGTCTAGCGATTTCGCTATCTATATTCGAGACAAGCTTTTCGACAGCAAAACATCTGTCGACCATAAAATCTTACATAGTGTAAACAAGAAAGGTGAATTTTTCTAAAGTTCTGTTTCTGGGAATATGACAAGAACCATAAAACATTACAAAGAGCAGTCTTAAAATTTGTCAATGACAGACTTGTTGACAGAGATGACGCCGATTGGAAAGATGAAGTCCAACAAAAGTTCTTAGAATGCAAAGAAGACACATGCGCTGTTCTTGAAGATGAAATAGAAAACAGAATAGAAGAGCTATTAAAGGACAAAGACCTTTTACAAAAATATGGTTCTGAGAAGTTTGACATAACTCCACCAGAGAAGAGAAGAAGAGAGAGAGAAAGAAAGAGAAGAAAGTAGAAAGAGAAAGAAAGAACCTGAACCAGTTCCAGAGAAAAAGAAATTTGACATGTAAAAATAAAATTTTTATTTTTAGAACATTTCTGGGTCAATGTCAATGTTCTCTTCCTCTTTAGGAGCAAACACTGGCTTAGACTCTAAAATCTTTTTAACCCAACTTACCTTGAACTTCAACTATCTTAGACTCATAATATTCATAGTCGTCTGTCTTCTTTGGTTCATAAGGTATAACAAGTTTGTATGCTTTGCCTTCTTTAAGTTTGAGAACCTTCTGTCAAAATTTTCTTTGACTGCTAACAAACCTTCTATGTCTAAGTCTTCAAATTTCGCACCATTTTTAGTCACAATAGCAAACTTAACTGGTTCGATGTTCCAAACTTTGTCAAATGTAGACTTTTCAAAATGGTAGAAGTAAACATTCAAATAAGCGAATGGGTCTAGTTCTTCTTTAAGTCCTGACATATATTTGTTGACTGAAATATATTTCGTCATCTTTTCATCGGATAAAAAATATTTTTTTTTAAAATTTACTCAGAAAAATTTTTCTTTGTATATACGCCGTTCTGAACATCTAAAAGACTTTTGACATTTGCCAAGAATGTTCGTTTAGACGCTGCCATATAACCATACTCTTGACAATACTGTTTATATGAATCGTACAATGACCTTTCATCTAAACACTCAAAGTTAGTCTCATCTATAAACAGTTCATATACACTCTTGTTTGCTTCTAACAACGTTTGTCTTTCTTCGGTATGTGGAATTTGTCTGGATTGAACTTTGAAATATCTAATGTCATGAAATATGAGAACAAGGGTTGTAAAAGTTAGGTGTCAAAGTTTCTGCTAAGTCGTCAAAATATTCTGTATCTTGCATATGAGAATCTGACGTTCTGACAACTACATATCTTCTGTCAGAACTTTCTAACTTCATCGGAACAACATTGTTTGAAACCATGATGAATTTGCAACATTTTCACAAACTCTTTGGTCTTTATTATTCTTTCAACAACTCCAACTTTGTCTGTTATAAGACTCTTCAAAGCATCTGAGTTTCAAAACTTTGTTGTATCTATACTTTGAAGTTCGTTACATACTATAAGTTTCAATTCTCTATTGAAGAGTTAAATTTACCGCAGATGTTTTCTAAGTTTGTCATATTCGGTTCGAATAGCCTCTAACAGTTTGCAAGATATCTGTAAAGAAAGTGTTCTTACCAGTTCCTTGTTTTCCAATTATAATGAGAGCAGTTTCATTTTTAGCACTTGGATGTTGTAAGATGTTTGCAAACCAACATAAGATATACTCATAGACTCTTTCGTTTCCATTGCATATAATTTCTTTGACATGGTCTAACCAAGCTTCTATAACATTTTCTTTCCATTCTACTTGTTCGTATTTATATCCAGTGAAGATAGAATAGAAGTTTGGAGATGGTGTATAGAACTTTATACCACGAACTGAAAAATCTTTAACTTTGACAATAAGATATCCAAGCATCTAACATCTTCATGCCAACTTGTACGACTTTTATTTTCTTAAGTTTCTGTCTACATTCTTGTTCAAACTATTTTGCTCTTGGTTTGTTAAAGACAACATCCCATTCTTTCATAACATAACATTCTGGGGCAGAGTCGACATAAATGACTAAACGTTTCAAATTCTCGACTGCTTTGTTATAGTCTCTAAATGGACACATATTTCTGAACGCTTGGAGTCATAAAAATCTGAAACATCTATTCTGTACATTTTTATAAAAATAAAAAAAAATATTTTTTTTATTCTTGACTTTGTTGTTGTTCCATTTGTTGCATTTGTTGTTCTTGAGCTATTTGTTGTTGAAGTTGTTCTTGTAATACAATACTTTCAACCAGTTGCATCTTCCAATTCGAAACTTTCTGCCGTCATTGACAAATACATAGGACATAAAAGTTTTACAGGAACAAAGTTTGCGTCAACTAAGGTTAAGTTTATTTGCTAAAGTGTTTGAGTTCACTAAAGCTGAAAATTCTGCATTCGAATGAACAATAGGCAAACCAGCAGAGAAAGTGTTGTTTATACGCATAAGTATCTTTTGGTCATAGTAGTTTCTGTCGACATTCGAATAGCACTTTGAACCTAAGTTTGAAACAATATATAAAATAGGTTGCTTAAAGTCAATGGAACAGACACCTTGTATGACACCTTTTCCTGTTATAGGAAACTGTTGGTAGTAAAAACCAGATATAAGTTTTGTATTATAGCTCATATCGTTTATAGTAAACTCAGTCGGACATCCAAACATAATGAAACCTGCTCTAGTTGCAGCACATGTTACATCCGTCCTTAAAGTATTAAATAAGTCAACAAAACCTGTTGGTATATCTGAGTAAGTATCTTCAAAGAAGTATTTTTTACCATTCACAACAAAAAAGTCTTCTGGTGTCAAAAGAGCAAAACAGGCTTTAGTCGTCATGTGTTTAAGGTAGTTTACAATATCGTCCTTGAGGACTTTGTAAGTTTGTTGTTATAGAATTATATGACTCAGGGTTTTTAGTCGTAATAGTATAAACCACTATGTCTTCTGCCATTTACTTAGCAAGTAAATTTTAATGAAATGTTGTGGTCGTCAAATATTTTTATGACGTCTGGAAACTATATTTTAAGTTCAACGTTTCACCTCCTTTCATAACGTATATCTTGTCAATGACATTATATGAAACACCACAGCAAGCAATGTCGGGTTCTATTTCTTTGATGTTTATATCGTCTGCCTCTGTCAAAAGTTTCAATAGTTCTTTTCAAAACTTCATGAGGTGCGATGACATATGAGTTCACTTTTACAGGGTTGTGTTCGACCAAGTTTAACATTATACCCAAAGCTTGACAAATCTTCTCCTGAGTTTTAAGTTTGTCTTTAAGTTGTTGGTAGTCATTTCGAATATCTGCAACAGAACTTAAGTCTCTGCTAACTTCAGGTATGTTGGTTGTTCTTTTACAGAACTTGTATACCATCTTCGTCTTCGTATGGTTTCCCCACTTCAACATCTCTTTCTTTGACATTGACAACAACACTTTGACTGTTTGTTTGAGTTGGTGAATTTAACTTCACATCTGCCACCGCCATTAAACCTTTTGAAAAACACTTACGCTTCTATTTTTCGGAAATGACATTTACTTAGAATAAAAAGATGGACGTATTGAGTATCTCTTCGAATTGAAGCAGAAAACAAAGTTTACACACACAAACAATACAATCATTGACAGAATAGTTCTTTATACAAACAATGGAAAATGTTATAGAATAGCAGTCTTTGCTGAACCAAAAATTTTCATAAAGCAAAGAAAGTTGGTATAACCGAGATGGTGAAAGTTCTTGAAGCAGACAAAAATATAACAACAAAACTGACCGATATTTCTAAAGGTAAGTTTATAATACAATACTATATGTCAAAATGGCGTACTGTCAATATTTGACGGAGAGAAGTCAGTTCAAGAACAACTTACTGACCTGCTGCCAAAATCTGCTCGATGGAAGCTGTCGTTATACCATCTGAGGAGCCCCAGCAGGTTCATCGAACGAATCTTTCAAAAGAGCATCTTCCGTGAAAAAGTGCTATTGGTTTTGTAAACTTCTTTGCTTTCAATTCATCTGGACCGTCTCTGTCACCAGTATATTGTATTTGAACTGTACCAACAGTTGAAAACCACCCATAAAGTCTTTGAGTCAGCAAATGGAATGCCAAGCCAAAATTTGAAGGTCTCCATTTGTATATTGAGTTTTTTGACTCCTGTATGGGTCCATACTTTCACATATGGCATAATAGAACTTTGCATTTCAGGGTTAATGGTTGTTGTGAAGTGTTGTTAAAGTTCAGCATCTAAAGTCAAGTTGTATGACCTCATATCCTCAACTGTAGAATATTCTTCTCTTGGATAGTAATTTGCCATCTATGTTTATATGATATTTAATACCAGGGTTGTAGAAGCAAGAATAGTCATTTATAGTTCGTCTGAACAGTACAAACATAGTATCTGCATGTTTCATTGCAGTTGTTAAGCAATATCTGTCTTGCACCTGGGTCAGCACTTTGGTTTCCCAACTTCACCTGCAAAGTCTTTGACAGATATTTGGTGTATAGGGAACATAAGTGGAACTGCAATATATTTGGCAGCTAAAGCATTTGAAATATCTGGGTCCAACATATAGACTGCAAGTCTGCTTTCTATTCTCTTGCATTCAAACTGTTCGCATGT